TTGTACAAGATGGAGGAAATTGCCTTGGATGGGGACAAGGTGACCTTCCTGCAGGACCTCAGCCAACTGCTAGACAACCTGAAGACGAGTCCGGTAACCGAACCGCGTCTGGCCCTCGTGTGGGGCGCCATAATTTCGCGCGGCTCCCAAATACTGCAGGTCAATCCACACGTGAAGAAGCCACTCCATATGCTGGCGCGTCAACTGCAGATCGCATCCACAAAGGCTGAAGGATGGGGCGATGGCCTGTTGGGCGTCATTGGGCTCCGGTCGGAGATCATTACGAATAGGTGGGACACCTCTATACACCCAAAATGGAACAGTGAACAATTTTCTAAACGCTATTTAATTAACAGGCGAAAAGTGCTGACCCGCTGCCTGGCCTGCGTCATCTTCTCGCTGTGCCCAGCCAATCGTGACTTGCGCCTGCCCTGCGAGGAGTACGAGAGCAGCATGCGCGAGCTGTCCATGCTGCTGGCCAACAAGAAGTTCGCCGATGTCAAGTCCCTGATTGTGCGTGCCATCAGTGTGCTCAAGGAGCAGCTGCTGCCCGAGGCGCGTGCTGTTCCCCATTTAGTTTGTCGCCTGATTGGCATCTTCTACGAGCAGAGCTACCTGACAACCATTCCAGAGGTCTGGGACTTTGATTTCCGACTGAATGAAGCAGCGTAGCGCTCTCTCAATTTTCTCCATGTGAACAATTATCTATCCCAACAGCCAGATGTGTTATTTTGTATGGGATTTTATTATTATTACATATATGTATATCTAGATTTAGGGCAAATAAAGTGATTGATTTTTGCATTGCGAATGCTACGTGGATAGGATATCCATCCGTACTTTCTACCAAACATTAATTCAATATCTCTCTCTGTCTCTCTCGAGGTTGTGTTTATACTTGAAGCTATTTGTTTAAGCGTAGTTACTATATCATATATATGATCGTGGAGTGGACAATCTTCATAGATAGATGAGCATATAGAGCATAATTGAATTATTAATTAATATATAAATACGTAGATCTAGACGAACGAACGAACGAACAAACGGATAACAAACGAACAAAAATTGCTATACAGACATAAAAATAACATTTAGGTGGGGACAAGCATGCGCGGGTTTTAGGGGGAAACCAGAGGCAGCCGGGGCTCCAGTTACGGGGAGGCTTCAGTCAGTCTTCCACAGCAAAATTGGACAGCTGCAGATGCTGCAGATTGTTGCGGGCATCGAAATATCCCGTGTCGGTCGGATTATCGGGCGTGGGCACAAACGGCGGCTCCATATTGCCAATGTTCTCCCAGTCAATGGATGCAAAGTGCCGCATCAGCTGCACTTCTTTGGCCGCGGGTCGCTCGGCGGGATCCATGGTTAACAGCAGCTCCACAGCCTCCATGGCATCGACGGACAAGGCCTCTTCGCCTTCGGGCCATTCAATGTCTGCAAAAGAACGGAAAATGAATGGAAAATGTAAATCGTACGATTTACACAAGGAAAGATTTATATTTACTTTTGTTAAGAATGTTGTCAAATACTTTCTGGGGCGTCTCGTCGTTGAAGGGTGGAATGCCGGTCATGAACTCGTAGAAGCACACGCCCAGCGCCCACCAGTCGACGCCGGGACCGTGGCCATGCTTCAGCAGCAGCTCTGGCGCCAGATAATCGGGTGTGCCCAGTATACGCTCGTTGGAGACGCGACCGCCCCGCCTCACCGACTTCGGGGTGCGAAAGGGCGTATTGATTTTCATGTTCTTGGGGGTCTTTGGCATAATACCAGCTCCGTGGTTTATGGGTGACATTGTGGGATCGTCGGCCAGCTTCAGGTGATACTGAACGCCCGACAATTTCTCAGCCGCCGCATTCTCCCGCTTCTTGTTCTCGATGGACAGGGGCAGAGCGAAGCGTGTGGCCTTCATCTTGCCGAGCAGTCCGCCATCACGGCGTGGCAGCTTTTGCGAGGACACGGGCGTGGAGAAGACCACATTGGCCACGCTCGTCTCGGGGCCGAGCAAATGCTGCATGGGCATCTCGTCGTCAGACAGTGAGCGCACCTTGAGCACCCCGCGAATGGGCGAGGAGCGAGCCTTGCGCTTCTTGGGCGTACTGCTGCCAATGTTGAGTATCTCGATCTCCTGGGTGAGGCCAGTGTTGGTGCTGCCATTTCCCGAACTGGAGCCATCCGCATCCATGCTGGACATATTGTTGGAGCGATTCACCAGATTGATCTTCCGCTTCATGCCTCGCAAGAAATCGGGTCGCTTAAAGTGTTTGGAGAGATTGCGAAAGGGGGAGTTCATGTGGATGCCGCTCATCTCATTGCCATTTGTCAGGTTGTAGCTGCGCGAGTAGTCCGAGCAGCTGTAGTCCTCCTTCGAATGGCTCAGGTTATCCGTGTTCTTCTCAATCGAGGAGGCAGTGCTGTTCTCGCTGTTCTGATTCAGATGACAACCGGAGTAGTCGTCGCCTTTTCGACTCGATACACCGGAATCCTCCTGCCCTTTGTTGCGGTTACGCTGTTGGGATGCCACATAAAAAGAGTGAGTTGGAGATATAGTGAGGTATTAACAGAAAATATAGACACACACACACACAGACACAGAGAGACAGAGCGACAGAGACATAGACAACGCACCTCGTCGAGCGATCGCCTGCGCACCATGGAAAACTCAAACGACGCCTCGTTTGCGCTTTCCAACATGGCCTTGCCGTTGCCATTGCTATTGCTGGCCCCGTTGTTGTTGTCCTGTTCGGCCATTTTGCAGCCCTTTTTAGAGATTTAAGCACATATGCAATTGAGTAGGGAGGGATGGGAGTTTGTCTACTCACCTGGCATATAACCGTGTCCAAGGCAAACTCCACCCGCCGCTTGCTGGGCACTGGCTCTGGAGCTGCTGCTGCACCGGAGTCCAGCGGTGGGGAACACTTGCTCAGTTCAGCCGAGTTGCATGTGTGATAGGAGCACGAGGAACTGCTGTCCTGAGGCTGCACAACAAAACAAAGCACATAAACCATGAGAAAGATTCTGGAGAAGCGAAGGAGGAGGAGGATTCTGGTTGCTTCTGCTATACTGACATTGGTGATAGCTGTGCACGTATGGGTAATCGATTCATTGACCTCGGCCGAGTAGAACGGCGAGACGCCCGAGATTTTGCTGTCGCTTGTCTTTTCCGCATCGGTTAGGGATGTATCGCCCTCACTGTCGGTCATCTCCATGGCCTCGTGGCCATGCTTGTTGATAGCCTGCAGCAAATTGGAAGTCCCTGTGCCCATGGTCGTGCCACCTGTGGCAGTCTGTGAGGAACCATATTCAGCCAGTTTCTTCTCCGAGCCAAAGGACAAATGCGAGGTAAGTGACAAGAGTTGCCCCGGCGTCCGGGCATTCAGGTTCGGCGAACAGTTGATCAGATCGGACATCTCCAGATCGCGTCGCATGTCGATTTTACTCAGACCAAAGTCCGTGAGCTTCACATGACCCGTGGACGAGAGCAGCATGTTATCCGGCTTGATGTCGCGATGAACGATGCCATGCTGGTGCAGATACTGCAGCCCCATGGCCATCTCGGCCACATAGAAGCGGGCGGTGGCCTCGTCAAAATAGCCGTACATGGCCAGCAGCGACTTGAGATCACCGCCCACCATATACTCCATCACCAGATACACATACGAGAGTGACTGCAGCGAATAGAAGAGACTCACGCAGAACGGCGACCGGGAGAGGGCCAGTGCGTTCCGTTCGGTTATCACCTGAGACACCATGTTCTTGTTGATCATCTCCGACTTGCGCATCACCTTGATGGCATACAGCTTGTTCGAGTCGTTGTTCTTGTAGCCCAGGAACACCTTCCCGAAGGCCCCCCGGCTGATCGGCTTGATGATGACGAAATCTTTGATGGTGGGCAGCTGCAGCGGAAATGAAAGGGCGGAAAAGGCATGAGATCTGCTGCTAAACAACCAACTAACGGTGTGTGTGCACGCGCGCTAACTGTAAACCACATGCACACACGGATGCACGTGGGCAATGCAATGCAATGCACTGCTTACCTTGGCATTATTCGAGTGATTCTCCGGTTTGGTGGTTAGGATATTTATCTTATCCAGCAACTGCTCGCTGTCGATCAGCGAGTTGGTCTTCTTTGGAGTCTTGTAATCAATGTGCGGATCGGAGGACGACAGCGAAGACGCATCAGCGTTTTCCATATCTTTAAAATAGCGGGTCGCAGACTTTTTCCTTCTGGCTTGCAGCAAATGAATCGATCTGAATGCTATGTCGCGCTTGTTTGGATGCAGATTATGGCTGCTAGGTGTTCCTTATTCATTTATTGCACAAATTCAAATTTAAAATTTAAACAGCGCGTCGACCGATCTTTAATTATTTCCCAGGGCTGGGCATATTATGGCGGCTGTACCGACGAGGGCTACCAAAACACACGGTTGCTGAATCGGCTGAGAATCGCGATATCGAACCAGTAACTTTGCGAACTACCAATATACACATGATTTCAAATAAATGATTTGACCTTCTTTAATCAAATCAATAATTTTTTTAAAAAGGTAGCGCTTAGTTTTGATACAAATTTCAACAGGTATTCTAATTATTGCTGGGGAGCTATGATCCAGTGAACCAGCTCTGGTTCCGTTTTCATCAGCCCTGGTACGTATTATTTTGTGTATGCAGCCCTCTCAATAGTCGGTTATAAATTTGAATACAGCTTTACAAACATCCCACTCAAAGATGCAATTGTAATTATACCCGTACTCAAAAAAGAGTTAAGGGGTATATTGTATTTCTGGTAAAAGTGGATAGCCGAGTCGATATAGCCATGTCCGTCTTGATGAGGGCCTAGATCTCAGAGACTATAAGAGCTAGAGCAACCAAATTTTGTTTCCAGACTCATGTGAAATCACACTGCTACCAAGTGTATTCCAAAATTTCGCCCAGAAGAGACTCACACGTTCACGTTCCTTCTCGTTTTTCTTTGTGAAAATGAAATAGATTCAAAATGTATTTATTAAAAATGCACTTTATTTATGAAATTTGCGTTACATTTTGACGCAACTAATTGCTTATATCATAATTTCCTGTGTTTATTTGATAGAAAGCCTTTAATTTAACAGAAAAAAGACGTACATTTAACATAAAACTTTGAATTCTTATCCAAACTACAGCTAAATATTTGTTTCTTCTTGTACCCACATTGTTTGGGTACCCAGGAGATGGTGGTGTATTGTTCTCGGTGCCAGGCGATTCGTCAGTGGATGCCTGAGAAGCCTGAGATTGAGGCTCAGCCATTCAGCGAGGAATCACCGCCAGGTCGGCCACGTGCTGGGCCTGGCTTGGGTTAGCTCTTCCTTCCGCCAGAAGAGAACAGCCAATGCCGCAGCCCGTGCTGGCTATGGCCATAAGCGGGGGTTTGCAGCTCACTCTTAACATGTAATTGTTGTCAAAACACAAACCACATGAAAGGGTGACGGATATGCTACGACATACGAAATAAGTTTATCAGCTAAAGGAAAGGGATTGGGAGTTTATCATCGGGGGAAGTCCATCTTATCCATCGTTTACATTATTGAGCAGCGCGAGCGATTTTCGACTTCGGATACTTCCACGGGTTCCTCTGCAACCGGAGAAATATTCTCGCCATCAGCCTCGGCGTTGCCATCGTTGATTTCCTTATCGTTGATTTCTTTGACTGGGCTACCGGCCTTCTTAGGCGTCTCCAGGCCTGCCTCTTGACCGACAGTCACCTCCTTTTGGTCCTGCTCCTCAGCACTGCCCGAAGAGATGTTGAGCTGCTGTTGATCCATTTCGACAGCAATGCACTGAACGTCCTGGACTTTGCCATTTTCATCGCCGTCGGCTGTGGGCTGGTCCAGACGCAACCGCTGGGGCGAGCTGATGGTGGTCTTCGAGAAGCGCGATCGCAGCAAAGAGAAAGGCGATGCCAAGCTCAGGCTGAAGAGATCAAAGCGGGCGCGCTTCGGTGGCGAAGTCTCCATATCCTGCGGCAAGTCAGTGGTCGACTTTGATCCCAGCAGTTGTTGGGGCGGTGTCCGCTCGCGCTTGCGTCCGCGCCCAAAGAACGAGAAGGAGAAAGATGAACTGTTGGGTATCTCTGAGCCAACTGTAGCATTCATGCTGTAATTTGTACTGGTCGATGTGTCCAGATCGTTGGTGGTGCATCTATAGCTGCCCACTTTCGACGGTGTCAGCGAGGCTGTGTTGCGTATGCTGCGCCTGCCACTGATCTGTGCAAAAGTGCGGGCCGGTGCCGGGCTGGACGACTGAGCAGCAACCAGGTTGACCTCGTTGCTTGGCGGCTTGCTGCTTCCCCCGAAACCAAATAGTCGGCGTCCTGGTGTCGATGTGGCAGCCGGTTGGGCATTGAGATGGTCCACAGCACTTGTCACACTGCGTATGGGTGAGGCATCCATAGTCAGTGGCTCCATTTCAACATCCTCCTGTGGTGTAGCGGGTGACTCCTGAACTGGCTCTGGAGCAGCCGCTTCCGTTTCTGTCTGTTTCTTCGTAGCCGGCGAGGAGCTCTGCTTGCTGGTCGGAGATTTTTGCTGGCTAGCCGCCGCTTTGCGCAACGATTTTCGCTCGCCAGTGGGGGTGGTGGGCACTTTCACTGGACTGTCTTTTACCACAACCACATCAGGCTCAGCGACGGTTAGATCAATCTCTGCAATCTTTTCTTTTACAATCGGTGAAGTAGCAACAGCCTTTTTGGCTTCCTTTTCGCTGGTGACGTTGGTGCTCTCTTGGTCATCCTTGTTGTCCCTCTTTTCAGCTACTTTTTCGACCTTTTCCTTGGGCTTCTGATCCTTGGCTGAGTTGCCGTTCTGCGGCGTCTTATCCTTTCCGTTGGTGGACTTGCTAACGCCATTAATGCTCTTCTTTTCGTCCTCCTTGGCGGTAAAGCCACTCGAGGCAGAAGCAGAGGGAGAGCTTGCCGATCCGGATCTCTGACCACTGGATTTCTTGAGAGACACATATGGACCAGCGCCGAATGCTTCTGTCTTTTTGCCACCGTTCTGGGGGCTGCCTCCTCCCTGCTGGGACCGGCTGACAGCAGCGCCAGCGTTCAGAGAGAGCGGCAAGCGACGTCCCGAGCCGCTGGCGACTACTCCTCCTCCTGTTCCACCGCCGCCACTCGCATTGTTTGGTTGAGCCATTTTGCTTAGCATCGAATTTGTTGGCCGTGTTGCACGATCTCTGCAAGGGACAAAGGAAAAAGGAGAGAGTCGATTAGTACGTTTCACAGTAGGTCTTCTCACACTTCAAGTGCAGGCGAAATCGAAAAGAAAACTAAACAAGTTTCAATTGACATGCGAGTCGAGGGACTGCGGTAATGTTTACATCGTATCGCATTCCTCGCACAGCTCGGAAAACCGGCTCGGAAACGACCCCACCCCACGTACCACAGTTGCTGTTGTTGCAGTTTTTCAATCACAGTTGGGCCAAGTGTTTCCACTTTTCTTAGCGCTAAGATTTTGTTCTAATCTGGGATACGCTTAGCGTTTTCCTTGTTCGCTTCGCGTCGCGTCTTGACAGTTTCACGTCTGGAGCTTAACTTAAGTGAGGACGGAGCCTGGCAGTTCTTTAAGTAGGGAACGCAGGTAATCGGGCAGCCAACTGCGGGCGGACAACTACCTACGGGTACAGCTGTCGTTTATGATGGGTACAGATTAGAATATGATTATTACTGGGAATTTCCCCTAACCCAGCGACATATGCCAGACTCAAATATTCAGGCAAATAACATTTGCAAAATCCTGAAAATGTTCCCTTTGCTGTTTTCCCTCAGCGCTGATTATAAAAGTGTATGGTTCTGCCTGAGTGATTGAATCCCCTCTCTCCCCAAAACATATTCTTCACTGGCTTCCGTTCCATTAAATGCATTCGAAACAAAACGCGACATAACCCAAACAAACACTGGCCAGCACGCAACAGTAAAAACAACAAACCTGTGCTTGTTTCTCTCTGTTCTGTTCTGTTGCATTGCAAGTGAAACAAGAAAATAGGGTTCGATTTGGAGACCAAAACTTGTGATACCCTACCGAATCACTTTAGCATCAAAATTTCTATGGCAGATCTTTTATAAACGTTCCAATCTCCGTGCAAGCCCAGCTTGAATAGAAACTTTCTATTTCTTTGCCAGCGGGAAAACAGGTGGTGGTTAATACCTTTTGCAAGGGTATAAAATGCCAACAGAGAGAAATGACAAGAACGCATTGGGTCGCATAAGGAATGAAGAATAAGTAAAATATCGAAGAAGACGAAGAAGAAATGCGCGATTCCTTCCCCTGACACCGCCGCGCTACAGTTGAACGAACAAGCTCGATGCCAGATAAATGCCAAATCATTAAATAAAAAACACCGATGCTTGGATATCCTTATTTAAAAAAAAGTTGTATATTCCTACTGCAATCAAGTTGCTGTATTGATTTTTACTTTTAGCTACATTCGAGACACTTCTTACAGCCCTCTGACATAAGATAAGTATACTTTTAATAATATCCACAAAAATGTAGGGTCAATGCCGTTTCAATTCGCATATACAATTGGTAAGGGTATCAAAACTAGTTGCATTCAAGGTGGATGACACGTGAGGGGGTGCAGCAGGACGTAATGGGGGGGAAAATGAAAGGTAGGGTGCGCTAGAAATTGCATTGAGCAGCCACATTCGGGTTTTCTTTTTAGAAAGCGCCAATCCAATGCAAAAGATATAAACGGCACAAAAAAATTGCAAACAAACAGTACAAGATGCTGCCGGCGAGAAAAATTTACAACCACATAGAGCCATGGCAGATATCATTTGTGTGAACACGTGCATATCTACATACATATGCATGTACATATGTATGAATGTCGATGTGGGCAATGGAGCGCAGTTATGCGCCAAGCCCTCGCCCTCTCACTCCCTTTCATATAATTCTTTTTGTTTTGATATTCGTTTTGTATGTTCGCAAGCACAGTGGCGCACAATAATATATCTACACCGGAGGAGCAACGCTCTCCAAGTCATATGGCTCTTCTAGTGCACGCCGGATACTTAAATTCTTGCATAAACTTTTTTTAGTTACTGTATGTGTATAAGCATATGCAACAAGAGTTGATTAAACTCAGAAACGACAAGAGCATAAGTTTGTGTACGCACATATTTATGTAAGAGTATGTGTGAGCGTAGTGGAAACTTTGCTTCAACGCGAATTGTTAATTAATTTCAACGAGCTCTGATCGGATCAGCAAAAATAACATAAACATAAGACAGACCGGACCGCCCCTTCCCCTATAAAAAGCAGAAAAAACAACTGTTTTTTATTTGTGTGAGTGTGTAAGAAAAGGCGGCTCACAGTGCGCGCCAAAATATTAGATACTGCAACTGCCCAGGAGTAGATAATTATAATTGTTAGTTTGCATGGAACAGAAGTGAAGTGATTTTTTTTAAATCTACTAAAATAAACCCATTTTATAAACATAACACAATGGGTTTTTTAGTGCTCTGGGCAAATTGCCGACATTGACATTAATGCTTTGCCACCACTGTACCAGCAGAGGCAGGCAATCTTGCGAGGCTCAGATACGGGGTATGTTTTTTAAAATGGCGTCGCGGCGGCTGCTGTTGCAGCAGCACCCACAATTAACAATAATGCATTTGAGAAAAACTGCACATCTATGGGTGCGGGCGATAGAAACACTAAACCTTTCCAGCGACACTAAAACCTAGCTTCGCCCACTCCGCTCAAACTTGGACACTCACGAGACATTCTGCCGCCGCCCGGTACCTGGGATATACGCGCAAAAAATTATCTACACCAAGCTTCACATCCTACCGCAACAAAGAAAACTGCTCCACCGAAACCATGCGCAAACTGTTCTCTCTTATCAATTTTTTATTATTAATAATGGCACAACTAACCTTTTGTCTTGTTCAATGACAACCGCAGTTAATTACACGAAATATGTACTTGTTTAATGCACAAAAAATTCCTTCGAAACGAAACCGACGCCAACAAAAAATTAAACAACGCGCTGGAGAAACATCGATGTTAACATCGATGTCAACGATGTTTGAGTTCGATGATTTTTCTCAAACATCGATGTTTTTAGTTAAATAGAATAATTTAAAAATTTCATATTTTAATGATGAAAAAGGTGGTTTTTAGTTGTATATACTAAATAATATACATATATGGAACTGTATATACACTTTTTATATACATACATTCACAAATTCACATATTCAATTTAACCCACTAAGGGCTGCTTCTAGACGGCTTTTATACGCCACAGTTATTATAATAGTTTATTGAAAAAATAATTTTACCTCCACGAAAACCTAAGAATAAATAAATATTTTCTCAGAAACAAATATCTATGTTTTCGACCAAGTTCTGTAATTATATTCTTATACAAGTTTTTTTAAAAACCCTGTAGGACATAATGGGCTAAGCTACACAACAATTTTAAAAACATCGATACCATAAAAAAACCACTGCAATCCGGCGATCAAACGGGACTTAACCCACTTAACACCCTTCCATTTAAAAAATTTGAGCACCCTTTGCTAAACCGCGGAAAATAATACTTTTTGTAAAGGCTCCTTGTAGCTCCATTCTCCTCTTAACCTATAAAACAAAAATGACCACCGACATCTTTCACCTGTAATGCGTAAAATATGTTAAAATTACATCAATTTCGTGGAAATATTATATACCCCCCTGGTCGACAATGGGATAACGTTCTATTTTATTGATTGAAATCGTATTCCATAATTTTGATATTCAGTTTAATAGTACTAGTTAGTTGGCCCTCTCAGCCCTAAGCAAATAATTTTATCCGATAGATACATCAATTTTCTACAATATTGGCTAGTTTTCAGAAATCCTTTTTATTGCATTGCTTACATAAAAAGGTTCAAACAACAACGGCCAAACTATAAAACGTAAATGTTGACTAAATGTGATGTCAGTGTTGCTGGTCAGCCAAGTTTCTTCTATGCGTATGGACATTTGTATACCCTATTACCTATAATTAATGTTTAATTTGTTTTCCAAGCTCCATTGAAACATTAATAATGATTTAATACTAGATTGACAAGTTTTTTACCTCTTAATGCATATATTTTGTGTTTTATTTATACATTTATCCCTGTTCTGATACCTATTATTGGTACCCGTGAGCTGCAAAATTTCGTTAATATCCTTCAAACAAAAACTGACTTGTTTCTGCATTAATTGGAGCCTGAAATTACAACCAATATGTCCATTCTATAATATATAAAATAACATAACATCATAACCATAATATAACCATAAAATAATAATTCGAAACGCGAAATAAAAAAAAAAATCGTCAAACAGGAAGAAGAAGAAGAAAAAAACTCGTCAAACAGGAAGAAGAAGAAAAGAATAGTCAAACAGGAAGAGAAGAAAAAAATCGTCAAACAGGAAGAAGAAGAAAAAAAAAATCGTCAAACCGGAAGAAGAAAAACAACCAAAGTTGCACAACAATGCTGTGCAACATTTTCATGTTGCTGAAAGAGAGCAAATTTTGAAAAACCACCACGATTTGAGAGCGAAAAAAATGTCGTGCGCTAAATGAAGTTTGGCGGTCATTTTGAAAAGTATCTTAATATATTGAAAAATAAATTGTAACTTGATTAAGTATACTTATAACGATAAACCGAAATATACCTTTTCTTTTTAATAACATACTGACGGACATGCCAAGATGCGCTGATATTCCTCGATTTTGATGTTCGGTTTAATATTACTGGTTAGTTAGGACTTTAACAACTGAAAATATAATTTAATCAGATAGCTGAATCAATTTTCTACACTCTGGCTGACTTTAAGGACTCCCATTAATTAGATTACTTATAGAAAAAGGTTTGAACAAAGAAGGTCAGATAAAATGTCACTTGTTTTACATGGTAACTACACGGTAACTACACATTTGCTACATATCAACGACTTATTTAAGGAGTATGGCACTTTGTATACCCTATTTCCTTTAATTAATGTTAAATTTGTTGTTCCAAGCTGCTTTGAAACATTAATATTGAATTTGTCTTAGAATGACATGATTTTTAACTATTTATGCATTTGACTTGTTTTCTGTATATGTCTCGGTCCTATACCTATTCCTGGCACCATGAACTGGATCAACTATAACTTTCAATTCCGCTTTACCACTTTCAATTGAGGCTGAGATTACAAATATTAGCTCAACTCTGTAATATACATTTTCTCAAGATATGCAGATTGTTGCTCATTCCGTGCCAAAGTCATTCATTTCCTTATGCTGATAAAATTAGCCCATACATTTCATTTGTAGATTCATAAGTTGGCGCTTACAGGTAGCTAAGTGTGACCAAAAGGGATGCATGTTGTGAACTAGTTCCGAAAATGCACTGCATGCGACAATTACAAAATTTGAAATTATTAAACAAACTGACATTTTATCATGGACAACATTTTAAATTGTGTCTGCTTGCGGTTTAAATTCAATAGCAATGACGTGTGCTTTCATAAAATTTCATGTGGCACTAATAATGTTTTACTGCGCACTAAGCTAAATCAATATTGGGAAAACAGGTTTGAGTTTGCAGCCGTAGCGACCCTACATATGTACATATGTATTGGTATAGCGCCTCCCACACATTTAAAGCCATTCAATAATGCACTGGTTCGTTCTCATGCTTTCGCTCATGAACGATTGGCGATTGGAAAACACTTGGACTTCGATTTGCCGCTTTTAATCACTATAGCCCGACCCTTGACCGATTCAGATGGATATATACACACCAGATATACTATAAATACATCAATTAGCTCATCCAGAGTGATAGAATCAATAGGCAGTGGTAAAAGTTAGTGAGCGGTAAAATTTATATAGTTTATAATATAATGCCAAATATGTTTAATCGCAGACCAGACAGCAGCAGCAGCAGGCAGCGACGACAATCTGATAACGAGCAGTTCTGTTCCAGTAGAAAGCATATTTGCTAAACGTCAGAGCTTGTGAAATGGCAGCGGATCGATTGGATGTCATAATTTTCGGGGCCAGCGGCTTCACCGGAAAGTACACGGTTTTCGAGGCGGTCACCGTGCTGAACGGCCTGCGATGGGGTATTGCCGGACGAAACCGGGAAAAGCTGGAGTCCGTGCTGAAGCAAATGGGGGCCAAGGCCAAGAAGGATCTGTCGCAGACGCCCATCTTCATAGCGGATATCAGCGACGAGGCATCTCTGCTGGAAATGGCCAAGCGGTGTCGCATTGTCGTTAACACGGCGGGCCCCTATCGCTTCCATGGCGAGAAGGTAGTCATCGCCTGCATCGAGGCGGGCACGCATCACGTGGATGTCAGCGGGGAGCCGCAGTACATGGAAACGATGCAGCTGAAGTACGATCAGCGCGCAAAGGAACGTGGTGTGTATGTGGTCAGTGCCTGCGGCTTTGACTCGATACCCGCCGACATGGGCGTCGTTTTTGTGGAGAAGAACTTCGACGGCGTGGTCAATTCGGTGGAAACGTTTCTGGAGAGTGGCGTCAAGGAGGGCGGCACTTCCGGCACTCGTGCTGGCCTCAATTATGGCACCTGGGAGAGCGCCGTCTATGGGCTGGCCCACTCTGACGAGCTGCGTGGTATACGCCAGAAACTGTTCCCGCAGCGCTTGCCCAAGTTTTATCCGCTGCTGAAGCATCGTCCGTTGATCTTCCGCTCCACAGAGGTAGACAAGATCTGTCTGCCCTTCCCCGGCTCCGATCGGTCGGTGGTGATGCGTTCGCAGCGTTTTCTCTACGACCAGGACAAGAAGCGCCCAGTACAGATGCACGCCTACGTCGGATTCCCCTCCTGGATAGCTGCGGCCGCCGTTGTCCTGTTTGCCAGCATCTTTGGATTGATGTCCAAGTTCCAAATCGGCCGCACTTTGCTGCTCAAGTATCCGGGCATCTTCTCGGGAGGCCTGGCCTCTCGCGCCGGTCCCACCGAGGACTCGATGGAGCGCACCTTCTTCAAGATGACTTTTAAGGCAACAGGCTGGGCCCAGGCCGAACGTCTGGCCGAGACCACGGACCAGCACACCGAGCCACCCACCAAAACACTGATGGTGCGCGTCTCCGGCATGAATCCTGGCTACGGAGCCACATGTGTGGCCCTACTATCGACCGCTCTAACCATCCTGCGAGAGAGCGACAAGATGCCCAACAACGGCGGTGTCCTGGCCCCGGCTGCCGCCTTCTCCAAGACGAGCCTTATCAGCGAACTGGAGAAGCACGAGCACGGCATGAAATTCGAAATCCTTGCTAATAAGTGAACGTAGTGCTTAACTTTTAGGCTATACAATGTCTATTCCACTTTTTGTTTATTTAGTAATCACACATTAAAATTTGTAGCACAAATATTAGACGCTATTAACACCCCGCACGTCACAAATGCTAACCTTTAGGCCACAGATCAGTCTGAGCCTCAATAAATGCAAATTTTCAGATCCCCAGAGACCGTCTACTTGTCCTTGTCGCCGTCAAGAGCGGCAATTTGTTTCCGCAAACGTGCCTGGGCCTCCACGGGCCAATCCTTGAGCTCGGCCTTGCCACAGGGCAGACAAACGGTCCTTGTGTAGTAGAAGCTACAAGCAGCATCCTTGCACACCACCTTCGAGCAGCTGCTGCAATTGGCGCCCATGGCAACGTAGAACTCGGGCTTCGACTGCCAGCGAGACGGGGGCGGCTGGAAGGGATCGCGCATCACAAACGTGTCCTCGCGGTATTTGATGCCCAGCGCAAAGGGCGGCTGGCGTCCAAAGTAGTGCACGAGTTCGTGCATGTCGCAGGCAGAGCAGCGAAAGTCAATCTTGGCAATGCGCTCGTCCTCCTCCTGCGGATCAAGCTTCTCCTGCGGCTGCTGATTCTCTTCGGGCAGCTGCAGGCGTGCGATTTCAGCAGCCTCATCATTCAATAAAAAATCCTCATCGGCCAGATCATTGTCTATGTTGACGCTCACGCTGCTGCCGCTGCTGGTGCCGGGCTGTTCGGCCTCCATTATGGCCCTGCAAGAGAACGAACGAACACAAGGAAACTGGGAAGCTTTGACAGTGTGAAAGGAGCATGGACCTTTTACTAGACTAACTAATATGCAACACTTAAGACTAAGAAAAATTAAACGCATTCAGCGTGTGAGGGTCAATCTGTGAAGGCCTGGCGACGCTTGCTGGGCACGTCGCTGGGCCACCAATTGGGACGTTCGGCAAAGCAGCGTTCACCATCGACCACCAGCTCCTGATAACCGTTGAGCACCTGCTCAATGCGCAGCAGGGCCACGCCATGGTTATGTGCATGCCCAAAGACGCGTCCGAGATTGGCCCCAGCCACAGACTGAACCGTCTGGTTGGCCCCCAATGGAGCCGTCAGACGTATGGGCATATAGCGCTTGCGTATCACACCCGAATGATGAATGCGGGCGGTGAGCTCCTGGCCCACATAGCAGCCCTTGTTGAAACTGACGCCGTTAAGGAAGTCTGCGTTCGCCTCCAGGGGAAAGCACTTGCCCGGCGGCAGCTCCTCACTGCCCTCGCCAACGCCCTGCTTGTAGCGCAGCAGTTGATAGTTGCTCTCCGACGATGGGGGCGCCAGATGCCCCTCATCTTCATTCTTGCGCCACAAACCACTGACCAGCTGCCTCAAGCCCAATGCTGTGGGAGCCAGAATGCGTGTGCCCAGCGCTGGGAGTCTGGGATCTGATGAGATGAACATTTCCAGTTCTTTGTTATGTTGCAGCTTTTCGCCCCCTTTGTGGTTATTGAACAGGACCCAGGGCGCGTACTCATCATCAATCGAGTCAATGTCGATCTTCTTGCGGACTCGAAAGGTGCGCAAGTGGCGTCTGAACTCCTCGGAAACTTGCCGGTCGCACTCCAGAAGGTAGGTATCCGGGCTCTCTGTACGATATACGATCGTGTCGTATAGCACACGCCCCCCTTTGTTCAGGAACAGGGCGTAGATGGAGGACGGGCCATCCGACCGCTGCAAGTGGGACACATCGTTGGTGACCAGGCCTTGCAAAAACGGCAGCACCTCCGCCCCATGGACACGAATCAGCTCCCGGTGGGCTAACTTTTCCAGAGTGTAAGTTGTCTTCGCAGGCCGTATATCGGCAAAGTTACGCATGCAGCATCGAGTCAGGCGTAGAAACTTGAAATTTTTGCATATGTTCATGCTGCAAATGAGTGCGGGTACTGTGCCGGATATCCATTAAAGGGAAATTCGATCTACCACTTACCTTGGTTTATAAGAACTGCAATATATTTGCCGACCAACTATGAAAATTTGTTAAAATGTTCTGCTTCAAGTTGAAGCCTTCAACAGCTGTTCTTGTCAAAAACTCTCTGCTTGACAGATAGCTCAGTGCTATTTTACTTGATTCAACGTCGTGCATTTCCTTCGATTACGATAACATAATTAACATATATTTATACTTATTTCAAACAATCAATGAATTAAATGAGAGGCAGTTTATTATCAGTTCGATCAGCTAAGAACATTTCGGCAATCCATTCCGTGAAAGAGTGCAGGAGATTTAAAAATTGCTTTCAATGCGCGCCAAGTTGGTCCTACGATCTGTTTATCTAGATAGAGTAGCCTCATAACTGAGCGACTGTTTCGCATCTAAGCTATGTGGACATTAATATTAAAGATTATGTAAGTTAATATTATCTTAAAGTATAAAAGGTATTTGTTTAAACAGAAAGTGTATTGGCATTTTATATTTCGTGGATAATAGTCTTGTAAGAAATTGTACAATATTTCATGGATTGTTCCGGTGGTTATTTTTGGAGTTTCGTAATTGAGTCAAATTATAACTGGAAAAGGCCAACCCTTTCGATTACATTGTCACTAATTTAAAACTAAAGACTTAGGCTAGCTTTAAATTAATTTTTCGGCTTTGGTGCAATCTTCTTGGCCATCGCATGGAGCTGGTCGTTGCTCTTCTTCTTTGGCTTCTTGGCCTTTTTGATGCCATCAACTTTGACGCCCCGATACTCTGATTTCTTTTTGCTGCCCGTCGCAGCATTGTCTCCCTGCGCTGCTGACGGCTTGCCGTTCTGCTTGTGTTGCTTTTTATCCAGACGCTTCTTGGCACCCACCGAATTCTGTTTGGTCTTTGATTTCGTTGGTGGACCTGATTTTGCAGCAGCAGCGTCGCGCACCTGTTTGGCGCCCAATTTCTTGACCAAATAGCGTTCCACGTTTATGGGTCTGTCGTCGAGCAGTGTCTGGTTGAGCTCCAGGGCCAGGCCCACGGCGTCGGGCTTCTTAAAGCACACATAGGCCACGCCCTTGCAGCCCTTTTCGCCTTCCTGTAAGCAGCGGATATAGTCGATTTCGCCACAGCTGGAGAATATTTCACGAAGCTTCTCCTCGTTGGCCGCTGAAACATGAAAATTTAATGTAATTTAAACAATAAAGTCAGCGATCAAGAAATTACTTACAGTATTTCAGGCTACCGACAAAGATGGTGCGCTTGGCATCGGCATCTTGGGGCAAGTTATCATCTCCACCTCCCGACTTTGCAGCTGGGGTTACACGCAAGTGATTCTCCTTGAATTCTGTGCCATTCAATGCCAGTGCTTTCTCCGCAATATAGGCACTATCGAGCACAACGTAGGCGTTTAGGGAGCCCGCCCCCTTGCGCTGTTTGTGCTTGAACAATTGCTTGCCACCAGCTGTGCGAAGGCGTATGGACTTGACGTTGCCATAAGGCTTCAAGAGACGCACCAACTGCACGCGTTTGGTGTTGATGGGAAGATTGCCAACAAAAATGGTAGCAGCCTCTTGGGCAGGATCCCGCTCCCATTTGACAGCATCTGTTTGTAATCAAGGGAAGGACTGTGGTAAATAGAAACCGAATTATATATGAAATTCGCATTACCTTCGTCCTTATTGTTGGCCTTGGATTTCTTGGTGGCTTTTTTCTGCTGTTTAGTCTCTGGTTTAGCGGCTGTCTTGGGGGTCTCAGTATCTTCTTCGGACGTTTCGACGGGATTGATTTCTTTCTTGACCTCTTTCTCTGTGGGCCCAGGGGAAGCTTTTAATAACTTTTGCTGCTGTTTCTTTAGCTTCTGGCCCTCCTTTTTGGCCCGCTTTTTCTCGATCTTGGCCAGGTCTGCCACTGTCAGCTTCTTTGGACTCTCATTGCCCACGGCCTCTTTCACTGCGGCCTTCTCTGTCTTGGGCTGCTTTGGTTGCTTTGCTTTCTTTTTGATTAGCTTGCTCTCCTGTGCAACAACAGGTGGTTTTTTCGACGGTTTTAATTCACCTTTCACAGCTTCGTTATTTCTCGGCGTTTTCATTTTGCTGGAATCTTCACGTGTGTTAGCGATGTCGATATCCAAAATCTAACCATGAGGCCTATCGTATAATCAGTACAGTCTATCGATAGTTATACGGTCACACTGATTAGGTTGTTATTGTCCTCTCTATTGTATTAATTTGTTGCATGGTTTTGGTTGGTTTTTCTGCTGCCTGCTAGTGTTTTCTTTTGGCCCAAAAAAAAAATGAAAATATACAAACAAAAGCTGCGTGACGCTTGGCTGCAAATGCCCGAGTTCCGGCCATGGTTGCGCCGGGACCCAGAAGACTCATATCGGGCGCATTGCCGATTCTGCAAGTGTGGCGTCAATACCAAAATATGCGACTTGCGCGCCCATGCACGTACCATGAAGCACAGGAAGAGGAATTCGGAGCCCGTCGTTGAGGCCAAGCCAATCCATATGGTGAGCATTATATCTGGCTACGTCTATAACGCATCTTATTAACATGAACCTATTCACACCTAGACTGACGCTGAGGATGTGATCGAGATTTCCATTTGCCACAGCAACGCCAGAAGCAGCCCCAAAGTTAAATCGAAGGCGCCAGCCGTGAAGCGAGAAAGAATCCGCAAAGTGGAAGAGGAGGAAAAGTCGCAGCCAATTGACTACGAGCAGATACTTCAAAATCTGGCCCTTTACGAGCCCGAGCAGGTGATGTTTTCCTCATGTCCCCTGACGGGCCCAGAGCATAATCCTGAAGAAGAAGCCGAAACGGTAGTTGCCACCGATACTGCAATTGACGAGGATATGATAAACAAGGCTGTGGCCAACGCAGTGAACAACCAAAAAGATTCATCGCAGATTTTTGGAGACTTTGTGGCCGATCGACTGCGCCAATTGAGTAGTGACGCATCCGAGTTTGCCAAGGATAAGATTATGAAAACTATTTTAGAAGCTGCTTCTATAGACAGAGCAGTTAGCTATAGTTAAGATGATTGGTTAAGTTTAGTTGTAAAAATGAGTTTAGTTTAAAAAATTAAAAACTAAAATAAAAAAAGTGTTTTCCTTTTACATTACCGCTGGTCACACTGGCACACCGCTTGTACAGCTGTACAGTTGCATAGTGATGATTCGGTATGAAAATTCGATAGTATCGATGGATTTCCAGCTCTACAACGCGCCGACAAGATGTAAGTGAATTGAAATTACATTTAAATTTATTGCTGTCAAACTAGCAAGGCGAAAATATTTCAATAATCATGGGTGAATTTGTGACCGAATCCGCTTACAGGAAACAGTGGCTGTACTGGTGTCGCCTTTGCGCCAAGAACGACGCCGAGATCAAGGTGCGAGACAATGCAGGCGATGAGGAAGTTGTAAGGATAATAAGCAAATGCTTTGATGTGGAGGTGAGTAGCTACGTGCAAGCAAAATAAATTTGGCTAATTTCCTGCTCTAGATGACCCTGGAGGAGCCGGAACTGGGCAGCATGCTGTGCACCGAATGCTTCTCCATGGTTGGCCAGCTGATTAGCTTCTCCGAAAATGTTAACAAGGTACAGGCAATCTTTGAGCTCTTGCGTCACACGGAGACAACTGAGACGCTCAATGTGTTTGAGCTACGTCGCCAGTACGGGCTGTCTGTCGACTACAAAACAGAATGCGACGACTACGGTGAGGATGCAACCGATACGTTCGTTGAGCCAGAAAGCCCGGTCTGTGTCACGCCCGAAGAGAAGATGCACATAGAAGAGCTGATTGCTACAGACAATGAACATCCTAGCGTGTCCCGCATCAAAAGAAAACGAGGTCGTCCCAAAGGTACTGCCAAGAAGCCAAACAATGCAAACACTCCCACTTCATCTCCATTGGCAAAATATGCTGCCCGCACTGAACCAAAACGCTTCATAAAACTCGAACCGGACACGCAAAGTGAATATTCTCCCTTACCTGACTACGAGAGCTGTGATACTCAGCCGGAGGAACAGCAAGAGATGAAGAGTGCAAGTCCTCCAGCTACGGGGAACAACACCTGTAAAATTTGCAAAAAGACGTTTACCTCGGCAGCGTCTCTGAGGCGACACAAGCTGGAGGTGCATTGCAACCTAAAACGCTTCATTTGTGATGTTTGCGGAAAGGGACTGACCACATTCACGGCTCTCGTCGAGCACAAGCTTGTACACACTGACTACTGCCCCTGCATCTGTCACGTCTGCAATGCGGCGTTCAAAAACAAGGCCCGACTCCGGGTAAGTAAACGGCAGCCAACCCCCCATCGATCTGGGATCTGATTATGCGTGATCTTATGCGTTGCCCTAATAGGTCCACTTGCAAACCCATGGTGCACCAAGCTTTGAGTGCAGCCTATGCGGAAAGAAACTACAGACACGAGCAATATTAAACAAGCACAAGTATGTGCATACGGACGAGCGCCGCTTTAAGTGTGATATTTGCGGTCTCGGCTCTAAAAACTCGACGGCCATGAAGATACATCTGTTGAGCCACACGGGATTGCGACCGTACGTATGCAAGTACTGTGGCAAGGGTTTTGCCAGCAACACAAATTGTCGCGCCCACAAGCTTAAGAAGCATCCAAGCGAGGCGTCGATGGAGGATGAAAAGGAATCTTCCCGCATACCCGTCCCCACGTTGGATGAGCTGCGAGCCATGTAATGATGAGACATGACACTCGAAATTTTGAATACTTTACTGATTTGTGGCTTTCTTTTTGCAGAACCCGTGAAATGGCAAAGACTAAAAGAGAGGCAGAAGAAGCCGAGGAGGCGGCAGAGGCAGCGGCGGAAGAACTAGAAGTAGTTTCAGATTGAAAAACAATATATTTTGCATGTTTTATTGGATCCAAAAAATAAAATCTGTCTGCAAAGAATACCAACCCAACAAAAGCGTTTTTGCCGGAACTTTTCCTTTACGCGAGATGGTCACCCTAAACAGATATGCTAATTTAATTGAAGAAAAAGTAAACAAAAAGCAATCTCTTGGAGATAACGAAGCTGGATAACGCTTTTATTTGGGGATCAGATCACCTTGATGATATGATGGCGGAGAGCAGTAGAGGAACCACATATAGCCACTGGCTGAATTGGTGCCGTCTGTGTGCCAAGGACGATGTGCGCGGCAATGTGAAAGTTTACACGAATGAGAAAGGTCAGGGAACCTGGGACAATGTGATGATTATGGCCATACGTAGGTACTTCGAGGTGCATGTAAGTTACTGTCAGGGGATAAAGCCAGAGCTAATGGGATACTTGCTCCGTAGATGCGTCTGGAGGATGAGCTAAGCAGCGTTCTTTGCACAGAGTGCTACACCCTGATCAGTGAACTAATCGATTTTGCGGAGCATGTTACCAAGGTGCAGGCCATCTTTGAAGTATTGCGCCGCACAGAGACGGATCAGAATAAAAAGCTGGATGTATTTGCACTCAGACAGCAGTATGGACTTTGCGCGGACGACTGGTCGCACATCATCAAGCCGATGGCAGTGCCAGAGAGCGTACCCAGTCCTGCCAGGTCCCTAGAGTTGGAAACTGAAGTTTCTGTGCTGGATCTCATATATCACGACCACGTAGAAGTATTTAATGCATCTGGAAACCAAGATGGAGACACATTCACCCTACCGAAGCCGGCGGAGACAATACAGGAAAGCCAGGAACAAATATTAAAAATCGCTCCTTCCGACAACACGCCTTGTGGCATCTCAAAGCAGGAATTTATAGATTTAGGTCCACTTTTTCAGGGCGAAAAGCTAATGGAGAACAATCTGGATGCCACCGCAAATGCGTTGGAGGCGGAAGATGTTCTAATTGCTGAACCGGACGCCATCAACCGACTTAATGAGCAGATTGACTCGAATTTGGAAGCATCGTGTGGTCCAGACGAGTGCAGCGACGAGGATATCAAGCCAGATGTGTCTGGCAACTGTGATGATGATCAAGAATTTCTACAAGAGCAACCTAGTCCCGCGACGCTCGGGATTCAACCACCAACCAAAAATGTGGAAAAATCTCATACCGACAACTACGAGGAGAAAGTTCAATCCTGCAACCCTAGCAAACGCTGTCGCATGGAATGCGAGAGATGCGGAAAGAGCTATCGGAATCGTGCCTCCTACGAGAAGCACATAGATCAGGAAGAGTGCCAGAGAATCGTTCGAAAAGTGAAGGTGGATAGGAACACGAGCTGTGACCTCTGCCACAAGACGCTCTCGTCGGTGTCGGCCCTGCGGCTGCACAAGGAGGGTATGCACGATAACGTGAAGCCATTCGTTTGCGACAGTTGTGGCAAGCAGCTAAAGACGATAACGGCTTTAAATGAACACAAGCTAGTCCACACCGACAGTCGTCCGTTCGAGTGCCCCGTATGCAAGGCGGGATTCAAGAATCGGGCACGTCTGAAGGTTCACTGTCAGATCCACGAGGATCCCAGCTTCGTATGCAATATTTGCGGTAAAAGGCTGCAAACGCGACGCACCTGGAACATGCATAAGGTGGTGCACAAAGAGGAGCGTAACTTGAAATGTGATGTTTGCGGCGCCCTCTTCAAACGGTCCAAGACTCTGAAGACGCATTTGCTTAGCCATACGGGTCTGAGACCCTATATATGTAACTATTGCGGGAAAACCTTTGCCTGCAATGCCAATTGCCGTTCCCACAAGCTGAAGAAGCATTCGCAAGAGATCCAACAGGGCGACCGGGAGAGCTTGCCATCGCGTTTGAGTGTTCCCACTCTGGAAGAGCTGCGTGTAATGTAAGTAGAGTTGGGGATGGGTTATGGTCTATATCTATTAACTAATTAATTAAAAATAATTACAGAACACAGAAACTACCAAAAGACGAGAAGCAGCCATAAAGAAACACAAATAAAGTCCAATTCAGAAAACAAATTTTATATTTTTTGGGCGTTGCAAAAAGGCTTTAAACAGCTTTAGATTATATTTAATTCTTTTAGATATCTGTAACTAAATTTACATCTAACTGCAGGCACTAATCACCGAGCTGATTAAGCTCAGTCACCAGTATATACTGTATGGTTAGTGGCTCAGTTTATTCCATATCTTCCTCTGCCGGATATCCTGCCGCATCATCCCATTTATGTATCGATTGTAATCGAAAGCACTTTCAAAGCTTCCCTGGACTATCGGAAAGCTTGTGTGCTGAAGTAATCAAAACAAAACAGAAAAGATAAAAATGGACATACAATTTGACAGCGAGAGCTATTGGAACCGATCCTCGCGAGCCGCCTTCAGCTTCGATGACGAGGACGAGTTGGACATCGTCAGCACAGAGCTTCCTAGCAACAAATGGGAGAACAATGGAATCTTTAGCGACGATACCATTTCCGAGGCGAGTTTCGAAAACAGTCCCGCCCTGAATCATCTCTCGATCAAAGCCATTCTAAGTGAGGAGGCGTTAAAGCTTGTACTTCAAGAGCAAACCCTGGACGAACGCATCATCCCCAAGGGCGTCTCGCCGGACGAGGAGCTGAAGCTATTGCGTCGACAGATCCAGAGCACTCTATACAGTCCCGATTTGGAAGTGACGGCGCAAAAGTTACTGCAGGGAAAGACAGCTCCATTGGAGATGTTCAGGTCGCTGCATGAGAAGCAGCAACTGTTGGACACGCTTCTTTGCAACGGTGGAGGCCATGCAGTAGTCACTGTGCTGCTCTTCCTCAAGCGCACATTGAACGCGGAGCAATTCCACGGCATTCTGAAGCAGCGACCCAAAGCCCTGGAGCAGTATCTCAGCTATTTGCGCGAAAGTGGCGACGTGAGCAGCCACATTGATCTGCTGCAACGTTTTGGCCGCCACCAGGAGGCAGCTCTCAAACAGTTTCAGGCGGCACTGGCCAGCGAAGACGCTGCTACGCGAAAGCAACATCTTCAGCGCCTGATCGATGCGTATGCCAATGCGGGTGTGGGCATTATTCCACTGTACGAGCAAGTTTTTCACGCATCACTGAAGATGCAACTTTTAATGGAAAAGGAGGGTTCGGCTGGCAAGCAGCTGGGCAATCAGCCCACGCCCATCGAGCTGCTCTACGTGTGCTGTCAGCAGAATAACAATTGGAAGGAACAGGACATGCTGAAGCCCATTTCCCCGCAACGCTTTGCCGCCGACCAACAAATCTCGCCGGCCCAATACGAATGGACCGCCCTGAACGAACGAGCCCAGGCCCAGGCGTACGCCGACTTGGAGTGCATCTTCGAGCGTGTGCCCACCTGGCATCCCCTGAAGTCCAAACAGTTTCACATTAGTTTTGACCTGACGCTGGCCGTGGTGCGTCTGTATGAACTGCACGCCCCGTCCACAGTGCTACAGCTGTTCCTCTCCAAAATGGGCAATAGCGGCGAAAAATTAGCCCTGGCGCAGAAGGTGAAATGCATCAAGGCCGTGATAGATGCCATGGCGGGGCTTAAGCAGCAGCAGGAACTGAAGCAGCTCAGGGAGACGCTGCCGGAACGCTCCGAGGAGCAGTTCTACTGTGAGAATGCACTGAAGACGCTGCAGAGCAAGCGCTGGACCACAGACAACATAAAGCTCAAGCTGTGAAAGGGATTTCTCCCTATTCCTTTGACTTGTATATAAACGTATTTTTTATTGTTAATCATATATATGTATGTATGTATGTATATGGGTGTATATAATTATTTTAATTCTACTTTTTTGTTTTATTAAATAATTGCAAATCACAAGCTGAATATCGAATAAAACATAACAAAAAGGTAAGGGTTTGTATCCTGCAGCCAGCCTGCAGCCTCCTCCACGATCTGTGAGCTCTTTGGGAGGATTATCATTATCATGTATGTGGCCGAGAATTTCTTTGCGTCCTTTTGTTTTGTTTTTTTTTTTTAAATAATTTATTGATTAAACAGAAATAAAAACGGGGGGGCGAAGCCAATTGCAAACAAAGCATTACAAAAAATTCGATTCTTTAAACAATTTGTTTGTCTTAATTATGTTTTTGTTTGGTTTTTTTTTTTTTTTTTTTTTTAAATAACAGTTGCCTGTAAAAAGCATTTGATTTTTGATGATGATTCTGTATATAAATAACCGCAAACAACAATTATGTGGTATAATAATTACGCGTAAACATTTATGGGGTAGATGGGGGGGAGTATAGGCATAAGGGGGGTGTATTAAGTTTGGGTATGAAGTTGCACAACAAACAAAAAACCTAAAACACGACGAGACATGTGCCAAACCCAGCAGCTGTCAGAGCAGCAGCAGGAGCAGTGGGCCAATGCTAATTGCCAGCCGACGCCTCACAGTCCGAGTAGCTGAGCAGGCGCTGGCACAGAATCGTCTTGAACTTCACCGTAAAGCTATCGAATATGACATCCGTATCCTGCAGCAGCTGCTGCTGCCCGGCGGAGGGCACTGCCGGGTTGTTGTCTGCCGCAGCCGCAATCAGCAGCTTGAACTTCTGATTGAGATTCTGCTCCAGGGCCGAGTTGTTGTTGTTAAAGTAGAACACGTAGGCCAGCTCCAGCAGATAGTAGTCGAGATCGGCCATAAAGTAACGCTCGCACTCGAGCATATCGAACTTGTGCTCCAGGAAATGCAAGCACATGTGATAGATGAGATGCTTGAGATCGGATCGCCGCAGCGGCACGTAGCCCGTGTCCTTGCTGAAGTACTCAAACAGCTTGAGGGTGCGCTGGGCACTGTCGCAGCTCTGCATGCACAGCCGGAAGGCCTCCACAAACCTAAAGTTGAGCATGCAGATCCTAATGCGATACTCGTTCCGATGCGGACGGGCGCACTCCCCGATCTTGTCGGGATTATACAGCCCGTGGAAGGCATACAGGCAGTAGTGTATATAATGCCGAAGCTGCTGCAGGGCCGTACCGCCCAGCGTGCCCACCGAACTCGCCGTGAAGGTGCTGACATCGTCATCGCACCCCAAAAGCGCCGCTGCATTGGTTTGCATTCCCCCCGGCATTTGTTCCGCCAGCGGAGCATAGCTCTGCTCTTCGGGCGAATAGTCCATGTCCAGTGAGCTGTTTGCATCGGTTTGCATCAGCGGCGGTGCGGCGTACGAGAAGCTGGCATCGTTCTGGCTCAGATTCTCCAGGCTGCTAAGCAGATCATCCGAATCCTGGCCAGTGGCCGCCTGCTCCGTACTGCTCTTGTAGATGGGTGTGCCTACTGGAGTAGCGCTGATCGAAGCTTATGTTCGCTGGCTGCAAGAAGTGTGGCTGATATGGCGGCATGACCTTCAAGTACCTAACTGGATCCTGGTCCAGACGAATGCGTGGCCTTGGCAAATTGATCTCCACGGGAGCCTCCACGCACTGGCTCTCGAAGCGCATCAATCGCTTTGTCGTTGGCAGGCACACAACACGCTGTCGCATTCGCTCCAGGCTGGCTCCCTGATCCCTGCCACACTGGCCATTGGAGTTGCCGCCAAAGGCGCGCACAATGTGATCGGTGGTCATGACCAGAGTGAAGTCGGCACCGCAATCCACATACATGGGCCGCTCAATGCTATCGATGGGCGAGGGCTTTAGTACAGCCCGCCGATCCTTGTCCTCAGTGCCCAGCTGATGTTCAAGGTTTTTGCCCCACGTATAGAGCGTGCACGTGGACGAGATCAAAGCAAAATGAAACAGTCCACTGGAGATCTACAAGCAGAAAACACATAAATCCCCATGATCACGATAGAAAAGAGACCCGCATTTGCACACACCTGTAGAGTTTGTCCTGCCACCTCACTGGTATCCACCAGATGCGGCGTCATATGCTCGGTGGGATCAGGTTCGGTGGCAGGTGCCAGTGCCGATGCCACTGGCGGTGCGGTCGGTTTTTCCTTTTCCGCCTCACACTTTGAGCCAAGACTTTCGCTACCGTCTGATGGCGCCGCCTCATTATCCACTTGAGAATTTTTGGTCTCGTTGGCTGTCACCTTTGGTGTGGCACCGGCCACCACGGCCGCGTACGATGTGGTTGGCTCCACCAATGTACTGCTGGTGTTGCTGCTGCTGGGTCTTGGCAGCAGTGTAGCCTCCAGTTGCCTGCTCAACAGCTCGCGCTGATGGTTCTCCTCCAGCTTTTGCTTGGCATTGGCGCGTCGTTTGATTTGGTTGGCCAGGCGCAAGGCCTGCGGCGAGCTGCCCCAAGTGTACAGCCGCTCCTGATCGTCTACAGCTAACTGCACACACAAAATCAGAGTCAGTAAACATTAGAGTCAGTAAACATGAATGAAATTTAATTTTGTGCCACTTACGTTGGTAAAAAATTTGGTGTGTATCAGTCTTAGGCTGCTGCCACCCGTCTCCAGGCGCACGGGCAGGTTCACCTTTGTTTCGCACCCCAGCTCGCTATTGCCAGTGCCCAGCTGGCCAAAGTGATTCGAGCCGAAGACAAAGAGCTCGGTGCTGTAATTGTTAGCCTCCATGTAGCTATTGCTCGCCTGGCACATCACAAGACTGTGCGCATGGCCCAGGGATATTTGTAAGATTTTCTGCAAAAAATTAACAATACATAATATCAGCAAAGTATTAATGAGTGCGGCAGAGACGAACCTTATACTTGAAGAAGCTGACTAGTTGTGGTGTGGCAATATTCTCGCAGCTGCCCTGCCCCAGCTGCCCATAGACGCCCCATCTGCAAAAGAGATGGCGAGAGGTATAAGTAAAATTGAAATTGCATTCATTTCGCGCGCGGGGTACTGGGGCACTCTTTTTGGAGTCTATCATTCGCCTCGCCTCAAGCCTCGACTTGTGCTCGTTGAGAGAGGCACGCGCCCTCTGTCAACAGGGCTTTTGGGTGCGGTGCCTCATGCAACATCTTGGTTGTTATTGTTTAGTCTTTGCTGAAACCTACCCCCACATATAGAGCTTGCCATCGGCCACTGCTGCATTATGATATTGGCCCGCCTCGAGCATTGTTATATTCATGCCATCCAAGGCTGTCACCAGCATCGGCTGCAGAGCCATCTGCATGTGACGGCCAATGCCCAGCTGGCAGAGACTGTTGTTGCCCACAGAGTACAGCTGCAAGAGATCAAAAGTATGAATAAATATGCTCTGCGCTGTGGGATTGCTGTTGGTTAGGCTTACCCCATTGTTGGTTAAAATAAGCGTGTGCTGGCGTCCACATTTGATGGCATGCACCTGCAAATTGAGCTGGGAGAGTAGTTCCAATGTTTTGACGGCATGCGCTGGCTCGGGAGGCTCTGCAATGCAAGGGAGAGAACTACTGAAGAAATGCGAGGCCAGACATGTGTTTAAGGCCAACTTACCTGTGGACTTTTGAGCACTAAAGTAGCTGGGTATGCCACTGGAGCCCCAGAAGTAGGCAATGCCATCCACAACACAGGCACAGTATGCACAACCAGCTGAGATCGGTTTAAAGCGTGAGGATTCAATGGCAAACTGCAAGGAATTGTTATTATGGGCATGCCCAAAACAGAGAGAAATATCGTGTTGGGGTCTTGCCTGATTGTCTTCATAGTTAATGCGGAAATTGGATAGAGCATTCACCAGCGAATCGTGCTTGACCCGCTGCGACTCCATGTGTATGAGCACGGCCAGATAGGTCTCAATTAGGCTCTTGCAAAACTCAAATAGATGGGGACTGTTGTTATCGTTGGAGTTGGCGCCGCAGCCGCTGTTGTGCGAGACGATCGGTCGCAGCGCTGGCGAGAATGGATTCAGTTGCCTTGAGAGACGCTGCAGCACACAGGGCCGTACATGATCGAGCTTCTCTTGGATGAAGGCAAAGTAGTCCATGGACACATGCGGCAAGTAGGTGATTGTCTCCATGAATATGCTCTCGCTTAGGTTGTACAGGCAGACATTGAGCTCGTTGTACCAGCCAAACTCCTGGGCCACCACGCTGATCAGCGCATTGAACGTATCCAGGCAGACGCCACGCGTCTTGGCCAATATGATGGCCGATGAGAAGAGTCCGCTCTGGCAGAGCACAATGCTCGTCATGTTTGTGTGATATTTGCTATTGGTCACCAGAAAGTTCCTGCAACAGACAGCCAGAAAGTTAAGTTATACTATCCTCGATTGAATGGAAATCAAAAACGCTTACCACAGGGGCATATAGTTCTTATCATTGACTGCCTTCTCGGCCAGCGTTATGAGCAGCAGATTGGCCAAATGAAACTGCGATGAGGGTGACATTTGCAGCGCACTGATGGACTCATCCACGCCATAGCAGTAGTCGCTGCAGGAGGCCCCACTGTTGACCACGCCCTGTTCTCGCTTCTGTGGCAAAACCATACGCACATCTTCCGAGTGGCGGTAGGTGATGTCCCCCAGCATGCCCTTCAGCAGTGCATGTCCCACGTGCCGTGACCTCAACAGATATGTGGACTTCAGGGCCATGGCACTCAGCTGCATCAGGGCATACGTGTGGCCGTACATGGCCAGCTTGAGGGCTGTGCGTATGGGTTTCACCCGAGCCACATTGTAGGTGAGCAGCGCCTGTGTAATCTTTTTGCGGCGCAACAAATAGTCGCCGGCAAACTCGATGCACAGCTCGAACGATAGGTCAAAGGTGTTGCAAAAGTCGCGGCATTGATTCCATTCGCTCTGCAGAGCGGCATCCAAGAACAACTCGAAAGGCTCCTTCCTGCAAGGACCAAAAGGCTTATACATCCAGCAAATGCACCTATTCCGCACCTTACCTTAGCTGTATGGTGTAGACATTCTTGTTGGTAATCACATAGCTGGGATCGTAGTTGATTTTGGGGAATTCTGACTGCATTATCTCCATTTGTCGCAGCGAAAACTCGCTGCTCAGATCGGCCGTATCGTAAAAGTGTATATAGTCCATGGGCGTGTGAATATCCTTGATTTCGAATGCCTTGGCCTTCTCCTCTTTGGTTAGGGCCTCTGGCTGGCCGGCGGGTTGGCGATATTGCGCCATCTGATACAAGTGCAGCACAGTTTCATGCTCAAAGCGAAAGAGTCCAATCTGTGCCAGCGTGTTGAAGCGCTGTCGAAGGAGGCAGATGAAATATGCGAGTATAAACGAAGATATCGTACAAAACTTACATCTTCGTCTGAGGTATGCATTGAGGCCATGGCGCTGCTGATCACACTGACCGCATTGATGGCATTGCTGGGCATCTCGCTCTGGTCTATGCTGGATGTGGCAGTAGTTGTTGCACTTGTTGTATCGCTCTTGTGTGCACTAGTCTCCCTCTCGCCCTGCTGCTCCAGCTTCTCGGTGTCCGCATCGCGATTCTCCTTGTCCGTATTGGCAACCAGCGGCTCCTCCAGGGACGAGGCTGCCGTCGATATGGCCGAATCGCTGCGACTGTGCAGATCCACATAGTTGATGCCATAGAGTATGTTCGAACTGATGAGTATTTCCTGGGTGTGCTTGGGTATCTTGTAGACAAACAGCGGCTTCAGGCTAATGTCAATGCTGTGCACCGTGAGGCTGTGACTATTGCTGTGCAGCGCACTCAACAGAAAAGTGCTCCGCAGATTCTGGATGGTGTAGAACGATCCTGTGGTGTTGCCCAGCGGCTCTGGGGTCACCGAGGGTGAGTCCATAATGGCAAACGAGCCCAGATTTGAGTCTGGCATTACTAAAACAAAACAAGGGATACGCATAAAGATGAGTCTGAGTCTGAGTGAAATATGTGGGGAAATAGTGTAACTAATTGGCAGGTCTACGGCAGTCTGTTGAGTGTGAGAGACTCACCGCAGAAGCGACGCCTCAATAGATGCAACAGTTCTCTCAAAACTGCACACCAATCGAAAAAAAAAACAAATATATAAAATACACACAAATTGCATAATTAAAAAATGAACAAGGAACAACATTCAGGCAGGTCAGAGCGGGACAGGGCAAAGAGTTTTCAATTGGGATGTTTGTTTGCTTACGCACATTCATCGAACTTTTGCCGCTGATCGGAGAGCCTCATTTTGATGGCGTGCAGCTTCTTCGATCCGAGACTCTTGAGCGAGGCGAGACGGGCTCTTGTCGCTGGCAGTATACCATCGATGCTGTTGCCAGCTGTGGGCAGCTGTTGCTGATGAAAGCGTACGCCCATGTTCTCGCTGGACTGGCGGGCCAGAGCTTCGCTGTAGGATGGTGGGGCTGGCGGTGGCTGCATTTCCGCAGCTCTAGAATCACCTGGCACCGGGACGGTAGACGGTACATCTGTGGGCACTGTTGGTGCCTGAAAGCTGGGCGGAACATCCTCGGCGCTAGATGGCGGCGCAAATACATCCTCTTCCAGCTGGCTGCTGTCCGAGGCCGGATCGGAGCTGTTGCTTTGTCGAGGACCCGCCGCCATACCAGCACTATGACTATGATGTTTCCCCTGCACAGACATGACAATCTGCCAGGCGCCCTCACGTGTTGTCGGTGAGCTATCCCCTGGATAAACGTACATGATAGCCTTTTGCTCCAGCAGCAGTTTGTACTGCTCCTTCAGGGAGGAGGTGATCTGAGGGGGCGCACAGATTAGTCAAATTTAATCACAAAACAATTTTCGGAGCTTACCAGCAACATTACTCCATCGTAGGTTTTGTCCTTGCAGATAACTAGACGCATCACAGATCCATTTTCGATTGCGGTGCTGGCAATCATGGGACAGTTGGGACTCAGGCCAACAAAGCAGATGGAGCCATCCGAGTAGCCAATAATGGCCCTGTTCAGGCCATGGTTGGTCTTCCACCACACCACCGAAAGGGGATACGGGCAGGTCTTGGACGCCATGAAGGAAGCTGCCATCACCTGGCTATTGCCAGTGGCATCAAACTGTGGCTGGACGGGCTGCGGCTGTTGTTGCTGCACTTCGGCCGGATCCTGTTCGATATTTTTGACCATCATATGATCGGGCAGTTCGTGACCCAAGGGCTCGGCATCTGCGTTTTCGTCCTGCAGCTGTAGAACATTGGCCAACTTCTCGGCCAATTGCTCCTCCTCTTGGTTGCTCCCACCTGGGGCGGCGGCGGCGGCTGCTGCTGTTGCTCATTCGATGCCGTTGAATGATTGGGGCACTTCTTGGAGTTGGGACACTCGTGGGGGCCAACAAATGGTATTATATAGGATGTCACCTGTGTGGTGCTGTACAGTGAACAGGCGGCCAGCACATTCGTCTTGTCCACCAGCGCCAGGGCGGGCACAATGTGCAGCGTATTGTCAAAACCTGTTGATATATGTATTTGAGAGCAGAGTTGAGTAACATTTGGATCGATTCACATCCCCATTGGAGGAGGAGGAGGCTCCACTCCAGAATCATTAAATCAAAACAAAATACGCAAAAGAAAATCAATAATCACACACCGAGCACCACCCCTACCTCCACCCCCATGCCAGGCACGACACCATCCAGGGTACTTACATAGCACCAGCAGCCAAATGCCCGCAGGATCGAAGCACACGTCGTGGATGACACGGTGTCGAAACCAGGATATCATCTTGACCACCTCCTGCCCAGCCGCGCTGATATAACGCAGCACAATCTCATTTTCCTCGCTGACAATCGCCAGCAGTTGCTTTTCATCAAAACCTGCAGTGACGGCCGACAGTTTGCAGCTGAGATTTGTAATAAGTGGACGAAGCTCGAACACACTCAGCTCCTTGAGCTCTGCGTGCCCCGCCATCACTTGACTTGAGGTTTTTGCGGTCGCAGTGCAAATAGTTTTTTCTGCTGATATTTAACTACTTAATTTTTGTTGGTTATCGTTATCGATGGAAGAACAAGGAAACTATCGAAAAGAAATAATTAAACTATCGCAGAAGCTGGCCAGAGTGTCAAAAAAGGTGCAAAGGGCAGCGCCAGTAGTTCCAAAGCAACTCTACAATCGAAATTAACGGCGCCAAGCGGCGTCGGAGCGTCGCATTTTCTCGATCAAGGCGTCTCTGCTATCAAGTCAACTTCCATTGGAAATTGGAACGGAGAGAAGTGACGGGAGGAAAATACAATTGAATATAAAATATAATAATAATGGAATCGCGCTTGCCAAAACCGTCGACCATAAAGCGGCCCATGATGCCGGTGAAAAGTATACTGCCCACAGATCGAATCAAAGCCGGCGGTGCGGGCGCCTTCAGTGCAAACCAAACCTACTGTGGAAACTTGCTGGCACCGCTCTCCCGAGATATTAACAATTTGCAGGACATGGATCGTCGCAGGGGTAAGTGTGGGCTTAAAGCATTGCCAGAGACCATCACCGCAACCTTTGTCGTATTGCATCTATGTATAGGTCGAGCTGCCTCGCCGGAGCCTACCAAAATATCAAACCAAAATCGCGCCAAATTGAGACGAAGTCGCTCGGCCTGCGACATCAACGAGATGCGCCAGAATAACAAACGCCCGGCGGCACAGCCAGCATTGGCGAGCATTCCCAGCAAAGTCTCGCGCTTTGGCAACACAAATGTGGCCACTGCTCCGGCCCCAGGTCAGCGTTTGGGTCGACAGGCTGGAAATACAACAACGACAGCGCCAGCTTCCACTGTAACCAAGCGACCGATAGCCTCTCGTCCTTTACCCAGAGCAGCAACTACAGCCACAGCCACAGCCTCTGCCACAGCTACCAAAACAAAGCCGGCAACCAGCGGTGTCGGTGCAGCTGCAAAGCGCATAGCACCGTATGATTTCAAGGCTCGATTCCATGATCTGCTGGACAAGCACAAGGTGCTCAAAACAAAGTACGAGAAGCAAGTGGAGGATATGGGAGAACTAGAGTCTCTGCCCACCCAGCTCGAGGAGACGCAGACGAAGCTAATCGAAACCGAGTCTTCCCTGAAAAATATGCAGACAGACAACGACTGTCTGCAAAGGCAAGTGAAGCAACAGACCAAGAACATTGAAACGATTACAACCTCGCTGGGCAGGACAAAAGAAGAGCTGTCGGAGCTGAAGGAAAATCATAAGGTGAACCACATTAAAGCGCATTTATTTTCGCTTGCAATTCTATATCGAATCTTTTTTCATTGCAGCAAATAAAGATGGAACACGATAGCCTAACCAAGGAGGTGTTGCAACTGCGGCAGCGCACCGAAGATCTGATGCGCAGCAACGAGCAACAAGCATCGGAACTGGAGACCTGCAAGGAGCAGCTGTTCCAATCTAATATGGAGCGGAAAGAGCTGCACAACTTAGTCATGGATCTGCGCGGAAATATACGCGTATTTTGTCGAATACGTCCGCCACTTGCCTCCGAGCTGGAACGCAATCGCTGCACTTGGATATTCCATGATGAAACCACAGTCGAGCTGCAGAGCATCGATAGCCAGGCCAAGAACAAGATGGGCCAGCAAATCTTCTCGTTCGACCAGGTGTTCCATCCTCAGTCGACGCAAACGGATATTTTTGAGATGGTGTCGCCGCTCATTCAATCCGCGCTCGACGGCTACAACATCTGCATATTTGCCTATGGCCAGACGGGCAGTGGCAAGACCTATACCATGGATGGTGTGCAGGACGAGGTGGGCGTGATTCCACGCACCGTAGATCTGCTCTTCGACTCCATAAAGGGGTATCGCAACTTGGGCTGGGAGTATGAGATTAAGGCCACCTTCTTGGAGATCTACAACGAAGTGCTGTACGATCTGCTGAGCAACGAGCAGAAGGATATGGAAATTCGCATGGCGAAGAACAACAAGAACGACATTTATGTGTCCAACATAACCGAAGAGACTGTGGCCGATCCCCACCATCTGCGCCAGCTTATGCTGATGGCCAGACAGAATCGCGCCACAGCATCCACGGCGGGCAACGAGCGGTCCTCGCGATCGCATGCCGTGACCAAACTTCAGCTGATAGGCCGACATGCAGAGAAACAGGAGGTATCGGTGGGCTCCATCAATCTGGTTGACTTGGCCGGCTCTGAGTCGCCAAAGACCAGCATACGCATGACCGAAACGAAAAGTATCAATCGTTCGCTCTCCGAGCTGACGAACGTCATTTTGGCTCTACTACAAAAGCAGGACCACATTCCCTATCGCAATTCAAAGCTTACGCATCTACTGATGCCCTCGCTGGGTGGTAACTCCAAGACGCTGATGTTTATCAATGTTTCGCCCTTCCAGGACTGCTTCCAAGAGTCTGTCAAGTCTTTGCGTTTCGCTGCCTCCGTTCATTCCTGCAAAATACCAAAGGCAAAGCGCAATCGTTACATGGCACTCAACAACAGCTCCTTGAGCTCCAGCGCCAGCAGCAGCAGCATGAGCAATAGCTTTGATAAATAGGCGACTCGTTTTTGTTTTCTGTTTGTTCTGAAAGTTTGTATATTCTCTCTCTTCTACAGGCCTCACATGCACACGCATTCCAAAACATTATTTACCACCCAACAATTCTGTTATCGCTTAAGTTATGTGTTTACTTTTAGTCGAAAATAAACTAATCAAGTGAGGAAAGTTACTTCGGATTCATACGCCCACCGCCTCCCGCACCTTGCGGGGAATTTTGTAAACCAGCTCCGAGTGGTTCTCGCCCACGCTGGCCAGCACGCCTTGTTGATTCACGTGCTCCACATTTGCATTGTAGGCATAGTGCTTGCCATTGATGTCGGTGAGGAAGCCGCCCTGTGCCTCAAGCACGGCTTCGGGTGCGCAAGTGTCCCATTTCTTGCATCCCGGTGTGGCAAAAACATAGGCATGAGCCTTGCCCTCTAGTAGCTGCAACACCTTGAATCCAGCGCCGCCCACTTTGAGAATTTTGGTGGCCGGAAATGCATTGAGCGCCTGCTGGTGCAGGGCATTGGAATGCGATCGTGTGGTGGTTATGATGAACTCTCCGGGCGGGGCCAGCGAATGTGTGAATCCGCCCGTGCCCAGACCCTTGAGTCCCCAAATGGTCCGACCCAGCTCACCATCGGGCTGCTGGTAAAAAGGCTGATGAATGATTCCGCCCACCGCTGCATCTTTGATGGCTATACCAATTAGTACAGTGACATGTTCCACGTATCCTTAATGGGGGAAAAATGTTGGCAAGTGAGTTGAGTTTCGTCAAGTCTACGGTGTCCAACTTACCCTGTGTATATTCAGCAGTTCCATCCAGTGGATCTACCCAGATCACAAAATCTTCGGGTTTTGCATCACGCCACTCGGCCGGACAGCTTTCCTGAAGAAACGTTTCATCCGAATCTTCCACCAGCCAATCATCGCACACATTTAAGTCGGACCCACCTTCCTCGCCAATGATCTTTACGCTGGGAAACTTCTTCGCCAGCGAGGCAATGATGCAGCGCTGTGCGGATCGATCAGCCTCAGTTTGGGGATCGTTTTTTCCCTTGTCGACGATTCCCAGGTCTCCCTGTTTCAACACGTCCCTAATGATGCCACCAGCTCGTTTGGCTGTCTGTATGGAAGACGCCATAATTCTCATAATAACCGGAGCAGTCGAAGCCATGTTTCTGTACTTTTTTTCTTGTATTTGGAATGCGTCTAAATGATGCTTGTGTGAAAGTACAACAGCTGTTTAACCATTGTATTTACCGATATTTTAGGTAGTTCATTTTACTGAACAAGTTCGATTGTTCATTTTTGATTCAGTGAACTAAATCTTTTTTTAGTTTATTAATTTTTGTTCTTAGTTCAATTTTAATTTCTATGTGTAAGTAATACACCACAATTTATGTACGTTTTAACTTCGTAATTTAAATTGCCAGCTCAAACATAGCGAACACAATGGACTAAAAGCATTAACAAAAATGAACAGTTCAGTTCGTTCACATCTCAGTGAATAGTTCCTTTTTGTTCGTAGTTCATGAACGAACCAACACTACTGAAGAAGACCTTTGTACCAGCCCCTCAAAATCAAGAGTATATATCTGCTGAAGTTTTAATTATTTCATCCATATATATATATAAATATTTTAGAAGAAAATGGCCCGTGTTTTGGTTGGAGTTAAGCGTGTGATCGACTATGCTGTCAAGGTAAACCGAGAAATAGCCTGTTGCATCTTCTTCTTATCACTTGTTGCGTTTTGCGTAATCGGAAGAATTAAACTTAATTAAACTATTCATTATCATTGTCATTATCAAATGTGGCCATCTGCAGGTCCGCGTCAAGCCCGACAAGACTGGCGTTGTCACCCAGGGTGTAAAGCACTCGATGAATCCCTTTGATGAGATTGCCGTCGAGGAGGCCGTGAAGATGAAGGAGAAGAAGCTGGCCACTGAGGTCATTGCCGTGTCCGTGGGTCCAGCTCAGTCGGCGGAGGTTATACGCACCGCCATGGCCATGGGCGCTGATCGGGGAGTTCATGTGGATGTGCCTCAGGCCGAGTACGAGCTGCTGCAGCCCATCCATATTTCGAAGATTCTTGCCAAGCTGGCGCTGGATGAGAAGGCGGATCTGGTGATTCTTGGCAAGCAGGCCATCGACGATGACGCCAATCAGACAGCCCAGATGACCGCCGCCGTGTTGGACTGGCCTCAGGGCACCTTCTGCAACAAGATCGAGAAGACGGACGCTGGCCTGACCATCACACGTGAAATCGATGGCGGCCTGGAGACAATCAAAACCAAGATACCGGCCGTACTGAGCGCTGACTTGCGCCTGAACACGCCACGCTATGCCACGTTACCCAACATCATGAAGGCCAAGAAGAAGCCACTGAAAAAGGTCACGGCCAAAGATTTGGGTGTTGATACCACGCCACGCATTGAGATTATCTCCGTAGAGGATCCCCCAGTGCGCCAGGCAGGAGCCACCGTGGCCGATGTCGACGCCTTGGTGGCCAAACTGAAGGAGGGGGGCCACATCTAAACGAAATTGTGAGCAAAATTTTAACCGTTTTTAGTTGAAAAAAAAAAAAAATCAGAAATGTGCATTTATCTAACCTCTGAGGTAGATCGGCAGACAGGCTTTAAAAATGCTATCCTCCCCCTCCCTCCCCCCAAGCGTCCTGATCGTAGTGCGTTAAGTAATATCAAATTTTAAATTTATTTCCATTGTGTCCCAGCTCTAAGAATAAAGTGATTGTAAGCTCTGAATGTAAAGCGATTGACAGACAGAGAGGGCAGGGTCAAGTCAACTCATCGACTCGTCTCGACTATTTTCCAAAAACTCCTTTTCAGGAAAATCTCGCTCAACTTGAGGCGGCCCAAAAATGTGGATCCAACGCCTAGCCCGATATGGCACTCCCCAATGGTAAATTCTATTGTTTTTTGTTGTTGTTTATTAGCAGTTCCACATAAAAGGAAAACATTAGCTAATGCACTTTTTATAGAGAGAGAGTATAAATTGTACATAAAGATATAAAAACATATACGTATATAAAGTTCTTAACTAAATGCTAAAATCTTGTTGTTTAATTGGACGATTACGACAGACACATACATTAATGCTTCGATTAAACATACAGACGAGTATTTATGCGTATAACTATTTGTAAAAAAATATTAAAAGGGGCTATTCGACCCACTTGATAAATTTAGAAGGGCAAGAGAGTTGTCAATCCGATGGTAATAAATGCTAGTTAAAAGATATATTCGGCATAATACCGACAGAAAATATCCCTGGTTATGGGAAGAAGAAAATTAAGTAGAAAATTGTTCTTGCAGTACAGTTTCGGCGTTACTGTAATTACCCCACCCGTCCGCGTATCACACACCCCGCCTTTGCCTTAGCCAACCCATAAACCAGACCATTAGCCATCAAACCCGTCCGGCGGGCACCATTTGCTTATCGCTGAAACGCAAAATGCGCGTTAGCATCGTGGTAACGCAGGGGATTTGCTTCTGCTGGTGCATTTCGGGTGTATCGGGGGTGCATGACTCAAAGTCAACGGCAACACGCTGCGAGACGAAGGTCAGCAGCGTTAAGATATCCAGGCGCTTGCCATTGGCAGCCAGTTCAGCGCACAGGCTCTGCATGAACCAGCTGCCCCGGGTGGTGTTGCGCCACGAGTAGAAGCCCGGAACGGTCGAGTAGGCAATGAGAAAGTCGGCATGGACGGGTATCTTGTAGCTCATGGATGAGTCGCCATCAGTTTCGGTATGTCCTCGCTGCATTGTCACGCCCGTGTCCAAGCGGTCGCCCTGGCAGGCCTGGATGAAGAACAGCTTCGGCTTGCCAGCCAGCGAGGGGCAGTGATTGGCCGTGAAGAAACTCCAGATGTTCTCCAGCTTGTACTGGGTGTCCTTGGCATAGATGTAGCCCATCTCTCCGTGCGATAGAATCGCCACCAAAATGCAGTCGCTATCGCCGTGATTCTGCGAGGCGGCCAATTCAATTGTTTTCACAATGTCCTGGTAGCGACAGTCCTTGTAAACGGTCACCTCAAAGTCGAGCTGTTTCAACACTCGCGTCAGATTCTCACAGTCCACATTGGTGCCAGCGCGCGACTTCAAAGTGGGCACGTCGAAGTGCTCATGGTTGAAGATCACGGCCATGCCGCGATTTTTGTGTCGCATATTGTACTCTGCGGCATGCCGATCCGTCACCATTTTGGCAACATTTTTGCCATAGCTCGAAGAAGGCGATCTATAGCCATTGGCCAGCTGTCCAATGGCTCCGCTACCGTAGGTGTTGTTGTGGCGCGAGGAGCTGGACGCTGCAGTCGCGCTGCCACTGCTGCCACCCACCGAGCCAAAGGCGTCTGTATGGTCGTCCGGGTTCTTTTCCACGTGAATTCCTACCTGATCGGTGGACTCGTTGCTGCTGCTATTGTTTGTGCTTGTGTCGGCCATTGTATTTTCCATCAATTTTCCTTGAGCCTGTGGAATTTTGATGAGTCACAAAGACAACGAAACTGGTTTTCAATATCGGGACGAAGTATCGCGCAACACTTGTACTAATTATCCTAGGCGCGGAAGAAAGTAGGTTTGGAACTTGCAACAAAGAAAACTAGCGAACAATAGAAACAAATTTTTGCTAGTTTGTGGCGGGCGGGTATCGTCTTCAGTTTTTTGTGACCGACCAGTGTGACAGATTCTCAGAAATATACCGAAATATACCTTCTTATGTTCAAAAATACCATAAATATACCGTGGGAAAACAAAGACCTTAACCCACTTAACCACCTCTCTGTTTAAAAAGTTGAACAATTTGAATTAGTCGGCGGAAAATGGTACTGTTTGTCAATTATATTTATAGATAAATTTCAACCATATTTCCAAAAAAAAAATACGATATCTTTTACCTGAACTGTGCTAAAATTATTCAAGTTTAATCATATTGGTGATTTTATTTATATACCCACTTGTTGACAATGGGTTAAACGTTCTCCATCCAATTCCCCGATTTTAATATTCGGTTAAATATTAATAGATAGCTAGGACTCTCAGCATTTAATATATAAATTTATCCGATAGATACATCAATTTTCTACAAGATTGGTTACGTTTTAAGACCTGTTTGTATGTGGTTGTTTATTTCCTTTAATTATTGTCAAAATTCAGTGTTCCAAGCTGATTTTAAACATTGACTAGTTTCTGCATTGATTGGAGCCTGAGATCTCAAACATTTCCTCAATTCTATAATATCATTTTTCACCAAGGGTATCAGAAGGATGCGGAAAAAAGCAATTAGCATGATGAAATTTGTCGAATATTGTGTTGCCGTGTGAAATGGAACTCACACATTTTGAAATTATTGATGACTCAATGATACTTGTATTATTTGCAACCTGTTGATTTCCCCCCATGATTTTCTGGTAATATTTTCTTCATCCCGTAAGGATGAATACATATACCGTTTCACTGCATGGTATAGGAAATTACTCATTTGCGGATGTTTCAACTTGATCTAAAAACCATCAAATGAAACAAGCTCTTTTCGTAGGTTGCTCAGAAGTGTATTATTTGTGGCCCCCACATTTGATATGGTACGTTTCCGATGCAACAACTTAAACGCAGACAACATTAATTCTAATTGCTTTAATAACTTAGTCCAATTTTTTTACAGATACAATATGCTGCAACGGTTTCTAGTCGCTAGCGGAGGCCTTGCTGCTCTCCTTGTCATTGCTGGCAAACTTGTCAGTGAGTTCGTATCTCCAGCGCATGTAGGTCACGCGCATACGATCCCAGACGTTGTCGACCGAGTCCATGGCAGGACGCACATCCAGAAGGGCAAAGCGATAGTCCTTGTCCACAAGTCCCCCGTCGTAGTAGTCAATGACGTAGCGGACATCTTTGCCGCACCGATCCACAATCCAGTCATGACGATCGAAAGGCAGCTCATACCTGGAAAGTGCTTGAACTTAGAAAGCGTATCGGAATGTGAAATGTGAGGAATTAGTTACCCTAACAGGCTGCGGAAACGGGCACGGGGACTGAAGTCCTTGGCCTTGCCGCCAAAGCTTTTTAGGCGCGGATTGCCGCACTCTTTGGCATGCAGGGCCTCCCACTTGAGCACCTCCTGCCAGGCCTGCTCATTGTTGGCGTTGTGTATGCGAATGATATCGCCCATGTCCTTCTGGTCCACGTCCTCCTTCTTCCAGCGCCAACCCTTGCGCAGCATCGCGTTCCAGAACATCTGTTGGCTAGGATACTGCCAGAACTGAGTGCTGCCGTCCTCGGTCACCTTCGGTATCGTTGATGTCTGCCGATCGGTGGGCAGTGCGAACGGCTGTCCTGGTGAGGGCTGTTGATTAGCCGGCGGCATCATATTGAGTGGATTCACATCGCTATTGTCGTGCTGCACGGGGCACTCAGAAGCCTGCTGCTGCATTTTGGGATGTGGGGGCACTGCCGAGGCAGATTTGTTATCGCCACCCTGCTTCTGGTGCATGGGGCACTCTGGTGGCGGTGAGCCACCAGCGGACACGTGCTTGGCATGATCAGCGGGCACACCTTTCGGCGCCTCCATCTGGACGTTGAAGCTAGCGTTGTTACCCATCCTGTAGTTTTATAGAAGAATGAGGGAACAATGAAATCTGTGTCACGGGAAAAATTTGTTTCTTGGTGCGCCAGTTCTCTCAGTTGCGTAACTGTAACCGCTGAAAAATGGCCAGCAGAACGGCGGGCACACCCACACCTACCTAATCCTCTAGCTTATGAGTCTTTGAATTCGATGATTTGTTTTGAAAGTCACTCGCGTTTAAATTTAATTAATATATTTACAGTTCATCGCAGGACAGTTGCAGCGGAGAGTGAAATTCTAAAAGGTTACGCGAAGGGTTGCCAAAGTAATGAAGACGGAATTTAATTCCTTGTCAGGTGTAAGTTTTTAGTAACAGAAAAGTAAGAGCTAATATTCAGAAAAAGTAGAGACTAGTCCGTGTTGACCCACAGCCCGAATCGTTTTGAAATATATTTAAATTATAGATTCAGACGTATAACATTTAATTGGGTGACGCGACAGCCCTGCACATACCTGCATTTAGTGCTGTATAGCTCTGGTGTGCCAAAAACGAGACGTTTTCCAACACCGACCGATATTGTTTTTGGGCAGATCTAAGATATTTTGCTTGAAAAGTGAGTTAATTCAGGGGAAACAGACAATTAAATTGTGCTGCTCAATTGACCAGCCAAAAGCCGTGTATAGCCGGAGAAAAACCGATTGTCTCAGGTCCTACAAACGCCGACTTTAAGGTGAAATTACGGCACAATTCTAATTGCTCCTGTGATGTAACACACCCGACAAAGTGCCACTGGACATATTATTGTTTATATTGAAGTTAATTTCTAAATGTTAATTGTTTTCCCACAGAATGACTGCCGTGTTTCGTGTTGGCCTGGTGCGGCTCGTCAGCCGCGGCGCCACTGCCCCCAACACCCTGCTGCAGGCCCAGACGAACGCCCTGCCCGCCGCCTTCCAGCAAAAGTGCAACATCTCCGGCAAGACGATGCGCGGCGGACCGCGTGTGCCCAAGGCGGCACCGTATCCGTACAAGACCAAGAAGTACAGCGTATTCAATGCGTTCTTCGACAAGACCTCCAAGCGCTTCGATGAGAACTCGAAAGTGATTTGCGTCGAGGGTCCCATTGCCTCGGGCAAAACGAAATTCGCCAAGGAGCTGGCCGAGGAGCTGGACATGCAGTACTATCCGGCCGTGGATTTGGATTTGATCTACATCAATTCATATGGCTATGATATGCGCAAGCTGGATCCCGAGCTACCGCCGAGCTGCCGCAGCTATGACATTCGCAACTTCTGTCTGGATCCCAGTCACGATCTGGCCGCGCAGTTCCAAATCCGCATGTACATGCTTCGCTATTCGCAGTACATCGATGCACTGCAGCACATCTTCTCCACCGGCCAGGGCGTCGTCCTGGAACGCAGTCCCTACTCGGATTTCGTGTTCATGGAGACCATGTTCCGTCAGGGCTATCTGTCGCGTGGCGCCCGCTCCGTCTACAACGAGATTCGTCAGAACACCATTGGAGAGCTGCTGAAGCCGCATTTGGTTATCTACCTGGACCTGCCGGTTGATGCCGTTCAGAAGCAGATTAAGGCACGCAACGTGGACTACGAGCAGCAGTCGAAGGTCTTCAGCGAGGCATATCTGCGTGACATGGAGTCCCTGTTCAAGCAGCAGTATCTCAAGGACATTGCCAACCATGCGGAGCTGCTCATCTACGACTGGTCAGCCGGCGGTGAGACCGAGGTGGTCGTCGAGGATATCGAGCGCATCGACTTCAACCAGTACGAGTCGGATCCGCATAACAAGAAGATGATCGACTGGCGCTTCCCGCTGGAGAGCGAGTGGTCCGAGGCTCGCATCAGGTACTGCCACGAGAAGCCCGATCTGATGAACTACTTCAATGTGCCACGCTTCGACGTGCCCGAGCTGCTGCGCAGTGCCGACGACAGCAAAATCTGGCGTGATGTCTGGTTCAATGTGAGCTCCATCCTTAATTCTCCATCGTTATTCCGTGTCTCAATTTGGTTTGTATTTGTTGTTGCAGGCGCCCGGCATGAAGTTCCGTCCTGGCTACAATGAGGACATGGGTGACACTGGTCTCCTCACCAAGACGAAGGTGGGCATCAACGAGGCCGTCTAGAGGGTTTTTTTTGCAAAGCGTTTGAATTTGAAATCATCTGGCGAAATGTGTTAATTATGTAATAAAACAGTCTAGTAAAATAATGGGAAATGCCCAGCTTGCAACGCTTGCAGGAAAGGAAGGAAGAACCTACGGGGTGCGTGGCGGGACGAGGCTCCGTACTATATTTATGTTTATATTATTTATCTTTTCAATGATTGATAACAGTGCGCAGGCGCACTGCATGTCCACCCACCCCCAGGGGGCGCAGGGGGAGACGAGCGACCCAGCATATGCGAGTGTTTGTCCAAAATCGATATTTTCCTCAAAAGGCGCACAAACGTCGCAGGGAAAAGCTGTGCATAAATCAAGGAGCAGGAGCAGTTTGCTGAAAGCAACGCCGAATGGTTAATTATTGGATATCGAGACTGCAGCACTAGCATTCAACACTTCCACTAGACCAGATGGCCAAGCCACACTCGGACGGAGATGCCTCTGGTCTGGGCTATGCCTACCAGCTGCCGTCCGGAGGCCTACTGCTGCGCCTCAAGTCCTCGCTTTCGCAGTTCAGCGATCTGTTCAGCGACTTTAGCAAGTACATATCGCCCGCCTACCATCACGACCGCTGCGAGCGATCCGTGCACATGCGTCTCTACTCGATGCACAAGCGAGATTTCGTCATGGTATTTCTGGGCTTCTTCACCTGCTTTGGCCTGGGCATCATTATCGGCCTCACAGGGCCGCCCATTACCAGCACTTCGACGCTGACAGCTCAGCAGGTGCTGGCCAATACAACGCTGGCCCACAGTCCCACGGTTCTGGCCACGGGCCCCTTTGCCATGAAGTCCCCGCTGACTACCACGTACTCACAGCAGCTATGGCTGATAGCCAAACTGGTGACGGATAACAACGATGGTGGGTGGTTGGCTGGTCTTACTTTTGCTTTGGTCTGATGTGTCTCCTCCCTAAACAGATGAGCGCTATGACAAGAGTTTCCAGGTGAGCGTAACCATCGATGGCATCAATGAGCAGCACAAACCGCTGAGTGTCCTTGGGTCTGGTATGGCACACAATCGCACGCGTCATTTGGTGTGTGCGCGCAACGATTGCGAGGAGTTTACGGTGATGCATTTGGGTTTTCTCGACTATGCCCACTACATCATCACGGTGCGGTTCTTTGGCCTCGAGTCCTTTCATCAAAAGTATAACATACGCAGCATAACCTTCTATGTAAGTCAGCTGGATTACCTATATCTTTATCTATATTCATCATTTAATTTCGCATAGTTCAAGACATACAGTCCGGAGTTTACACAGATTGAGATCTGGTTCAGGTGCATCTTTCTGCTGTTTACCTTCATTGTCATTGTAAGTGCATGCCATGGAGATGTAAGCCAGAGATTTCTACTAATTCGTGGATTCCCCATTTCAGTGCTGGTATGCCCACACCCTGCGCAAATATCCCGTCTTCGATTGGTCCATAGAGCAGCGTTGGCTCTCGGTGCTGCTGCCTCTGCTCCTGCTCTACGACAGTGAGATACGCGACACGCGATGCGGTCTATTACCCCTTTTCTAGATATTAATTAACTCACTGCCTTGCAGATCCCTTCTTTCCGCTGATCTTCCTGATGAACTCTTGGCTGCCTGGCATGCTGGATGCCATTCTACAGGCCACCTTCCTCTGTGCCCTGCTCATGTTCTGGCTGTGCATCTATCATGGCCTGCGGCAGAACGAGCGCAGCTTTGTGCGTTTCTATTTGGTTAAGGTGATTGTCGTGCTGCCCATTTGGCTGTGCGCCATTGTCCTGGCCACCTGGGAGAAGTGCAACGAGCTGAGGGACCCCACCTACAGTCACTTTGTGGACACCAGGAACTACAATGTGAGTACTGATCCTGCTTCTGCCTGCCGTCTCTCTTTCTTAATGTGAATATCCTTGGCAGGGCTTCAAGCTGTTCTTCTACATTGCCTGCTGCATGTATGTGCTGTATCTGGTCCTGCTGCTGCTCCGCGCCTACACCGAGCTGCGGTCCATGCCCTACTTTGGTGAGAGATCCCATTCGGGAAATCATCCAGTCCAATCATCATCGTTCTAATCTGTTCCATTCGACAGACATGCGGCCTCAAGTTCCTGACGCTGCTTATGCTCTTCGTTCTGGCCATTTCCATCTCGGTGACCACGAGTCGCTTCGGCTTTGGCATACTCGAGGATAACTTTGTGGCCTCGCTGAACACCACCTACCGCAGCTCCGCCCAGTTCATGTGCTTCTACGGTCTCCTCAACTTCTATCTGTACACCATGGCGTATGTGTACTCACCCGATGGACGCTTCTCCCAGGCCGAGCTGGCGGTCACCAAGGATAATCCCGCCATCTCAATGATCGATGACTCCGACGAGGATGTGGTCTATGGTTCCGATGAGGAGTCACGACGCCCGCTCACCTCGGTGGGTGGGAGTGGGGGTGGTAAAAACGATTACGACAGCGATTGATCGGCGGATAGAAGCGATTTGAGACGATTAGTTAGAGATGTTCCAAAAAATATTCCATTGGTAGAGCGCAGGCAGGGGCTTAAGTGCGTAAATAATTGTACAAAATAATCTCTGATAATCTCTACTCTAACATTAAATAAATATTACGAATTTCCGAAATTTAAACATAGATAAATCGAAGTTTTGCCCAAGGGACGAAGCCTATAAATATGTCTATTATATATCCTTATTCAATTCATACAAATAAGGAACGTCTTAGCCTGCCAGCATTTTATGAAAATTCCAATCACATTCCAAACTGCTCTTCCAAGTCCCAAAACTGATGGAAATAGTCAAATAAATGATACACAAGTCGGGAGAAAATAACACCCTACCCTCGGACTCTTCCTTACGCGTCTTTTTCGAGTCGTATTTCTTTACAGATGAGTTATGCCATATAATCATTCAATTTATACATCAGTACTTACATCTAGTTACAAGTTATTTTGTTGCGGACTGGACCCTCAGTCCCAATATTTAATCTGTCCATCCCAGCCGGCAGTTGCCACTTTGCTGGCCTCGTGCGGATGCCACAAAGCACTGATGCAGACGCCATCATGCGCCTGCCATTTTTTGTACATTTTCGTTGTCTTCCAGTCCCAGATGTAGCACTTGCCATCGCCATCGCCCGACACCAGGTAGCTCATGTCCGGCGAAAAGTCCAGCTGGCAGGCATAGCCCGACACCATATGCCCGGTGAAGGTCTTTTTGCGATTCATTTTGAAGCGATTCAGTGCCGAGAAGATGACGATTTTGTTGTCCAGCGATTGGCAGGCCATCCACTTGCCGTTTGGTGCCAAGGTAACCGCAGGCATGGAATGCATAGTGGGATCCGCAATGTACTTCATGTCCACGGGTATGTCCCACTCCCAAATGCGCATCGACTTGTCGTCCGAGGTGGTCACAAATCGACGATTGTCATCCACAAAGGTAATGGTACTGACAGAGCCCAAATGCCTGTCATATTCCTGCACAATATCCCCGCTGCGTGTGTCCCACTGTGGATAGGGAAAATACGGATTAAGCGAGGGTTAATCGGAGAAGGTTAATCCGTTGAGTTGAACTTACGCAAATGATCTTTTTGTCGGAGGTGCCGGCCACAAACAGATGCTGCTTGCTATTATCCGGATGGAACTTGACACAGAATGGCATCTTGCGGGTGGTGAAACGGGACACAACATCGCCCGTTTCCGCATCCCACAACTTGATGTAGCGATCGTAGGAGGCGGACAGAAAGTGTGATCCCTTGTTGTTCCACGCAATGTCCTTGATGGCCTGCCGATGGCCCGAGAATGTGCGTATGCAGCGTCGCTCGCCATAGACCTCCCACAGCTTGACGCGACAGTCCATGGAGCCGGACAGCAGCAGATGTGCCGTCTTGGGGAACCAGCGAATCGATGAGATGCCCTTGTTGTGCCCCGTCCAGGTGTGTATGTGAGCCTTGGGTAGGAAACATTTGGGTGGCGGGGCATTGGAGCGCAGATTCACACCCAGGTCGTGGGGAGCATGCAGATACGAGCGTCCTTGGTAGTCGTAGGCATCCTTGACTGTACACAGAATATAAACAAGTAGTAGTTGGTTTTTTTTTTTTTGTAAATCCTGTGGCATACTCACTGTGCAGTGTCGCTTTCTCCTCGAGCGGTTTGTCCTCGGGAATGCGGCCGCGTTTGTGCCGCTTGGACAGCAGCTCGTCCAGCTCGGCCCGTTCCTGTTCGTTCGGTTTGGCCACACTTACCTCATTCTCGTACTTGCCCCAGGGACCCAGGAAGCCCTCGATATCATCGGGCTTGTCGTTCTTCTCCTGTTTGCGCATTTTCTTTGCTTTCGGCGCCTCAAAGACCGTCTTGCCATTGTCATCGTATGCCGACTGCAGGTCGCCCACAAACGTCTGCCCATCGGCCGCCTCGTCCACGCTCGGATCCAGAGCATAGCCGTACGTGTGGAAGGTGCGTCGCTGGTTCTCAAACTCAAAGGCATTGATGTGCGCCTTCTCCACGTATCCGGCCAGCGTGTTTCTTGGCGCGCGCTGCTGCATGGTCAGGTCCGGGTGGTCGGGGCCCTTCACTGGCGCGTACATTTCGTCGTAGCGTGGATTGTAGGTTACCTCTTTCAGTGTGGGATCCAGCGTGCGCGGCACTGCAGACGCTCCAATGGGCACCACAACGGGAGCCGCACATACCGCTATGGCCGAGGACACTGAATGTGTTTTGTCTACAGGCATCAAATGCGCAGGAACCGCTGCTGCTGCTGCCACAGCGGCGTCCTCATGGTCGGAGTCCCCCTCGGAGGAGCTGGCGTAGGATTGCAGGCACAACATTTAGAGGCTGCGCACAAACTCGGTGTACTTGTTAACAAAGTGCTGCAGATAGATAACGATAAGGGTGTACAGAAGGAAAACAAAAACGTTTATAGAAATTTCCATCAAAATTGGCACCAGTGTGACCGCGGTCTTATCGATCAAATATACCCGTCTGACCCTCAGAAAATTACCGAAATATACCAATTATCATTTTAAAAATACACAGTAATATACCGAGGAAAAAAACAATTGCCCCAACAGCTGTTGATCGAAAAATTTAATGTTTTTCAAGAAAAAACATTTTGTGGGTCGCACCCTTATTGTTATTCATAATGACTGGACGTCTTTGGTCCTACGACATACTAAAGCAAACGGCCTGTGAAGGCTCTGCAGACATTGACGCGATAAAGGGAGCCTTTTCTCTTTCAACGAGAAAACTCGACTCCATTCGGACCATTCAAGATTTAATTGATGCTTTGGAAATTGCGGATCTGTTGAACCCGGAAAATGTGGAGCCGCTGTACCAGATGTGCTCCCATCAACCGAAACTGAGAGAAGCCCTGGACAGCTACGGGCCACGCGAGCCGGACAGCCGGGGACCTATCAATCTCTATCAAGAAGAACGACTGGCCGAAGATATCCGACAACACCTACGTATTGGCCAGGTCCCTCAGGTGGCAGCACCTCCACTTGTGGTTGCTGCTCCTGCGCCCCCACTTCTCGCCCAGCAGAACTACGTGACACCAGTTGCATTCACGGATCGCAAACGCGAGGCTGTCTTTAATAAGATCTCTGAGGAACTGGGTCGATTCTGGCGAGCATTGGGCCGCAAAGCGGGCATTGGTGAGGGCACCATGGACGGCCTAGAAGACCGATATCCCCGTGATCTTAAATCCAAAATTCTACATCTGCTGCGGCTGATGGAGGAGGACGAGTGCCATGACCCTAGACATTTCCTTATGCGTCTCTGCCGAGCCTTGACGGACTGCGGTCGGAACGACATAAAGAGGAAGGTGGAGCAAATAATGTCCCACTGAAAGATATAGATTGCATGTTAAACCAACTGTAAATGATTTTTTGTTAATGCAAGGCAATGGTACTAGAATATAATTGAAAAAACATGTGATTGTGATCTACGGATAAAGAGAGTGTTTCCCCGTAGATAGGCGTGACATATATAGCTAGTTGGCAGAAAGCCAAAGAATTCTGTAAATCTGAAATTTGTAATGCATGTAATGTAATCCAAGAATAGATTATTTAATTCATTTAGTGCTCAATACAGATAACCATAAAACAAATGCTTTCATATCAAAAATAAAACTCAGCCAGTCATAACACAATTCATTTCAAATGCTACCGTTAGGAGCGGCTTTTTTTATGCAGACATGATAAGAGCACGTCAAGGGAAAAATAACTACGGAACCACACTATGGAGCAGTTCCCGGTCGTACGAAGCTGAAGATCAACAGTTAAGTGGAATTAGCCATAAGTGACTTAAACTCCAGAATGGACCAAATATTTAAACTTATGCAGGAAACAATGGATGCAAACAAAGCATTTCGTGTCCTGGTACAAATGCTTATCTCGAAATGACTAATCCAATATTATAAATCGGATTATGGAATGCACGAGGACTAGTCAAAAGCATTGAAGAGCTCAGACTCAGCTCAGTGCCAATGAGATAGATGTAATGTTGATAACTGAGACATCTAAAACCAGCCTAAGTATACAAGTGGCCAGTGTGAGCGGGCCGACTAATGGTGGATGCATCACAATCGCTTCTTTATATCTACCTCCCAACCAACCTTGGAAGCCTCTCGCACAAGAGGTCATATAAAAATCTAGGTATCATATTGGATAGGGAACTTAACTTCAAAACCCATACAACTATGGTTCAAAGGTCGGTTATGGCTAAGAAAAGATGACGTGGCTGCTTGCTCCCAGGAATAAATCAGTCCATACTAAGGCCCATGTGAAAATATGCACTCCAAGTATACGGAATTACTGCTAAAAGTAATCTAAGCAAAATAGGAATTTTACAATCAAAAATTCGAAGGAAAATGTATGCATTTAATGCCCCCATGCTCGCATGATAAGGACATTGAAAGAGATCTAAGGGTTCCTAAAAAAAACAAATATTTTATGTATACATACACTTTACGTTCATGTTCGCTTCTGAACGGCAATAAGTGCTGTTCAATTGTTCAAAATTCCCATTATAATTTATTCTAGAATCGATGGTGAGGTGGTAATATAAAAATGATAGGGTATAAGAAGTCCCATACTAGACATATCAGCGATGCAGAACACACTTTGTCAACATGCTTGGAAGCATGTGGCCCAGCAGCATGTACGAAAAATTCAGGCGTTACAATTGGAAATGTGAAAAACGGCAAATTTAGGCAAACAGCTGATTTGGAATTAATTATTAATAATTTTTTTTTGTTGATATTTACTGGTTAATAACCTGATTAAAAAGAGCGGGCTTAAGCTATTTTTTTTCTCGGTTTCTGACAGTCACACTCGACAAAACAAATCAAGTGAACTATTTATTTTTCCATATATATACATTTGAAAATGACCGCCAAAATTTAGCGCACAAAAAAATACTGACATTTTTCGCTCTCAATTCGTGGTGGTTTTTCAAAATTTGCTCTCTTTTCAGAGGTGAAGAGAGCGTTTTCGTGGTGACTTTCCCATCCTTTTCGTGGTGTGGCCGCATGTTCTTAACGGGAACGCGTATGGAACGTATATTCATTGTTGCGACGATCCCGTAAGATACGTTTGATTTGCATTGCAGCATTGTTGTGCAACTTTGGCACGGGATGAGCAACAATCTGCATAACTTGGGAAAATGGATATTATGGACTTGAGATATTGTTTGTAATTTCAGGCTCCAATTAATGCAGAAACTACTCAGTCTCTGTTTTGAAAGATATTAACGAAATTTTGCAGTTCACGGGTTCCAATAATAGGTATCAGCAACACTGACGTCACATTTAGACATTTACGTTTTATGCTTTGGCCGTTTTTGTTTGAACCTTTTTATGGAAACAATGCAATGAAAAAGAGTTCTGAAAACTAGCCAATATTGTAGAAAATTTAAGTATCTATCGGATAAAATTATTTGTTTAGGGTTGAGAAGGCCAACTAGCTGGTAATATTAAACGGAATATCAAATTCGAGGAATATCAACGTTGAATGGATTGAAAAAAAAAACAATCGATACTATCGTGATAGTATCGGGCTCAAAAAATTATTTAAAAACCATTAAAACCTTTTAGAAACTTGTCCAACTTGTAAACTTGTAAAAATTTAGATGCCACCTGTCGATTTGTTTACAAATGTGTCTTCGTATTTTATAACAGCCAATCCAAACATATCAAAAGCGCAACGACTGTAGCTCGATACTATCATGATAGTCGCAAAACCGTCGATAGTGGAGGCTAGCAGTAAAATATCGATACTATCGATAGTGCCATCGATGGTTTGACACCTCTAGCTCACAGATTTTTCGCCGCGCCAACGAACACGTCGGGGTATTGTCGAACTCTGCGGAAAAATGAAAATTAACGAAAACAACACAGCGCGCGCATTTTTATGACTTTGGTAAATTGGCATAAATAAAAACGAAGTTCGACTGGTTGGAAATATTCAACCAAATAATATACAATTTGTGTGGTGTGCTAGTGCCTGTGATTTCCTTTTGCTGTAGATTTGTATGCGTCGTTTTAGTTGTTTTTTGTTGTTTCGTTTTTCTTGTGTGTTTTCCCTGTACAGTAGATATTCCATTCGCATAATTGGCCAAAGCGTGTTAAGGCGTGCGAAAAGTGGTAACAAAAACGACAAAAAAACCTAGAAAAATGCTGTCGTTGATTTCAAGCCCTGTCTCGCTCACTCCTCTTAGCTCATTTTTTCCGCCGCCTAAGACCAGCGTTTTGTTGTTGCGCAGCGTATATGTACGTGTGCAAGAGTGTGTGTATGTGTGGGTCTGAGTGCATAAAGTGTGTGTGTTTTGTGTGTAAATTCCAAAACATAAGCTGCGCCGCTCTGCACGTATGGAATTAACAAATCACACACTAGAATGTACTATAGCTCACAAAAAGTAATTCCGACTTTTGGGTGTGTCTCTCGTTTTCGCCTTTTATTATAATATTTCCACTTTTATGCCGCTTGGAATGTGTGTCTGTCTCTCTTTATGTCCCCCTTCATTCCGTCATTCTCAGCTCATTCGCTGGCTGTGGAAATGTTTGTTTGTGTGGAAAGAGAAGCAACAAATGTGAGTGCGTCCGCATTGCCAACTACGTGATGAAATGCATAAAGTGTCTCCGTTCCCTGTCGTCCCTTTTACCTTTTTCCCCTTTCCCCTCCCGGGCTCCAATAGGTGCCAATTAGAATTGATTATTATTCATTATTTCTCTTATTACTGATACACACACACACGCAACCACACATTTGCAGCGACAAACAATTTCGCGCTCTCTTTTGAGTGTCTCTCTTTTGTTCCCTCTCTCTTACACAAACAACTCCACAGCGTTGTTGTTGTCGTCAGCGACAAGGTCTCTCTTCTTCTTCTCTGCGTTTCTGCTTCTTCTTTGTGCGTTTTTTTTTGTTGCTACCTTTTTTTTGCCGTTTATTTTTCGCATAACGTCATAACGCAAACGCAACGTAAAGCTCGTGGATAACGTGACGCAGAGTGAAATAAATAGTTTAAAAATAAAATGAAAATTATTGAAAAAATTCGTATAAATTACAGAATAAAATTGTGGCCAAAATGTGGTCAAAAGGTGTGCGATAATCCATGTAAAATAACAGTGTAAATAAAAATAAAACGTCAAATAAAAAAAAAGTGTAAATCGAAAAAAGTGCCAAACCAACAAATGTGGCAACAATTTGGCCATTTCTGCGTGTATGCTGTTGTTTGAGCCAGGGCCCAAAACAATCGACAACAACAACAGCAACAACTACAGTGGAAAATAACTACACAACAAAAAAATACGAAAATAATATCTAAAAGATTTACTTAACGACCAATAAACCACCAACCAGACGCGATGTTCAAGTGCATTCCAATCTTCAAGGGCTGCAACCGGCAGGTGGAGTTCGTGGACAAGCGCCACTGCTCCCTGCCCCAAGTGCCCGAGGAGATACTACGCTACTCCCGTACCCTCGAGGAGCTCTTTCTGGACGCCAATCACATCAGGGATTTGCCCAAGGTGAGTGTGGTGGGCGTTGTGGGCGTGGTGGGGCGGAAGGGCAGGCGGGGTGCTGCTGCAAATATCATGGCTCTCAAAAGTGCGTGGGGAAATTGAATGAAATTCACTCTGGGTGGAACCTTTAGAGTTCTGATGTGGTTTGGGAAATGAATACCATAAATATTAATGGGAATAAACTGCAGAATCGTTTAGACGCTACTTTACTCTTTCGATTATAAATATTCAAGGATTCATTCCATAGATACATTTTTTTTAAGAGCATGAAATATCCATCGAGTTATCTAAAAGAAAAACCTAACAATCCATCATCCAGTTATCTGAAGGACAGATAGCAGAAGAGGCAAACAAATTTGTCAAGCAAGATCCTCCCTTCTTCTGAGGAGAACTCTGGCTGACGACCTTGTTGCGCATCTCACAGATACTCTGACGGGAGGGGGGTTGATGCGCCTCGTCGCGTAGTTTGCATTCCTAGAAGGACATTGACCCTCGGGGCCTAGGGTCTACTTTGGTCAGACTCAGCCTCCTTGTACGAACGAGTAGCTATCAGTCTGTTTGTATCTTCTGGAGAGTGCATCCACCATTTGCGAACAGACAACAATTACGACAAAAAACGTTGGCTCCGTCCGAGCGGAAGTCTTTAATTAATGCGGGGAGCGGGCTGGGGCAGCGGCTGGGGCTGGGGCATCTTTAACATTTAACAATGTAAAAGCTTTGATATTGAGTACATGCCATGGGGATGGCTTCTGGCGTTGCATCCATAATTGAATCCACAATTACGCAACTTGTGGATACACACAGATACACAGCTACATACATAGATACTCTAGCTTGGGCATTGTGTCAACATCAAAAGCCACCGGCTGTAATACCAATTAATAGCCAAGTGATGCCCCTATGATAATAGTGGACCTCCTTCCACCTCCCCAAAGTGTGTGGCGCATCTACAAATGGAAGAGATACTCGTAGAGTATATTGATTTAGTGGTGAAGGAGAGTTCTGAAACGAAGTATCTTTGATTCAATTATTATTACCTAATACTGCAAGTAATCTGAATAGTATAGTATAGTATTTTCTAACACTATCTATTCTTTTTCTCACTTTGCAAACAGAGATAGTTCCTTGATTAACTCTATAAATTTTTAAGGAATATACTAGATGCAATTTAAATAGTTCTGAAGCTTCCGCTGAACTGCAATTTATATATACATAATATGTATATGTATATTCTGGCTTCTGGTTCTGATTTCTCTCATGTCAGCGGTCTTCCGTCTCGAGTGTACGAGAGTATCTGCCGGATAGATGAATAAAAAACAAACAATCAGAACTTTGAGAACTCTGCGGGGCCAGAGTCGTAGAGACATAAACAGAAAAAGTCTCGTTGACATGGCAACAAGTGGGGGGTTGGAGGAATAATACTATGAAATATATTTACTATCCACAATTGCAACTGAAGCGAATGCGAGGAGCGGAGGAGCAGGCCCCTGTCTCTGGTTGCAAATTTATTTGCGGTCGCTGTCCATGCAATTGTTGTGGCTTGTGTTTTCAATAGAGTTTTCCCTACAGTTTTTCCTCTTCCTCCTCCTCCTTCCCCGCCTTTCACTAATGAACTTCTAATGCAAATTCATGTCTGACACAAGTCGGACACATTTTTATTAGAGCAACGTTCAACGGCCGTCGCCACAAGTTGTTGCTGCTGTTTCTGCTGCTGTGGAGCAACCACAATGGACACAAGTCTCTCACAGCAATCACGGGAGATGGGAGACAGCAGCAGCAACGGATGTACTGATGTTCTGGGGCTCTGGAGAACCCTTTTTTTTTTGTTTGTGTTGTTGTCGCTTTATGCAGAACCACATTTCCGCGTTGTCAGAGGCAACAATAAATAGTGGGGCATCGATAGAGGAAAACGTTCCCAACTGCTCTGGCTTCAATCTACTTCAATCTAGAGTCCATTCATTTCGGTTAACACAATTGTGGCAGAGGAAAATTGAAGTGGGAAATGGCATTTCTTTGACGGGGCGGAACCTACCCCAAGAACAAACAGAATTTGTGGCAGACAAAGACAAGGAGAGCGAAAGAGGGAGAGGGAGAAAGAGTGTCCCCCCATGTCCCAACTGAACCGAAAGACTGACTGGTTGGGTTGGCCCACCTCCATTCATTTGGGCCAATTAGTCACGGCTCAAAGATAAGATACCAGGTAATCGCCACCTTATCGCCCTGGCATTGCCCCCATCCACATCCATTGCCGGGTCCCTTGCCTGATTGTCTGCCTCTTGGCTTACGAAACTTGAAGCCGTCGCAGCACAGGTGCTGCACCCCCTTCCATCCCTCCCTTTCTACATTTTTTCGAGCACACAGACACACACACACACACAGAAAAGAGTGCCCCAGAAAATAAGCAGCAGGCAGGGCAGCGCGGCAATGACATCATTTTTTGGCAGTAATCGGCATTCGGCGTTCGAGTACGGCAAAACCCAATTGAATCAAAAAAAAAACGGCAGCAGCAGCTATATAGTAGAGAACATTTTTCAAACTATTCACCAAAGGAAAATTAATGAACAAATCGTAGTTTTATTTGCTTAAATTGATCCTTTTCTATAGTTTACTAATAAAAGAAACTACGTAATCGTAGTAGATACATTGGCCATAGTAAATTCCATAGATACTTTTGTGTATAGTTTTAATTTGAATCACAATTGGTTTTTTTTCCCCTACGAACTGTACTTCCACCTGTGGAATGTGTTTTTATTTCGTGTTTGTTTTTAGTTTTTCCATTCGTCACACACAGAATCTAGACTTTTCCTCTACCTCTGTTCCCTCTTCTCAACCCATAGATAGATCTATCTTTAGCGCAGCTTAAAACCGGTTACCCACCGTCTCTAAATGTTCTCCTCACTTAATTGTTCTCAATGGCATTCGTATCTGATACTCTGTTTAGCTTTTGTTTAAGCACAAAACACACTCAGATACAGCTGAAAAGAGAGAGATGGAGAGAGAGAGAGGCAGAGAGAGGAGTGCATCTGTGGTGGAGCTTTAGTTTTTACTGTTGAACTGATTCCCCACCGAAGATATAACTCAGATTTATGGCAATTGCGTTGCAATTTCTTTATTTGCATCTGAAAGATACTAAACTTAATGGGATTGCATTTGAAAGATAGTAAATTGTGCGCCAGCAGCTGTGGCCATAAAGAAAGTTTGTTAACAACCACACACAAAAGTACACAGCTACAGTTACAGATACAGATGCTGGTGCTGCAGATACTGTATCTGTTGGGTGCCCCGTTACTGGTGTGTGCGTTGAATAGAAAAATGAAGATGTACAGATTGGAATAGGCGCACAGATGCCCACAGACTGTGTGTGGATGATGCGCCACCAGAGTGAAGCTCCCAGCTCCCATCCTCCATCTGCATGGATTTGCAACACACACACACACATACGAGCATTTGTATATTTTCTGTGTATCTACAAGTGGTGTTGCAATTGCTGACAAGGCTGCCACTGCTGCTGCCACTGCTGCTGTTGCTGTTGTGTATCTGAAAATTCAGTGCGGCGTGAAATACTAAACGTGGCTTCATGGCTCCATGGAAGCTCTCTGCCGCCATCTCTGGCCACACATAATTGTTGCCCACTCGTATCGTGTCAGTCTCTGGTTCTAGCTTCTCAGCTGGTTATACGCTTCAGATGCGTTGTCGTCCAAATGTATCTAGAACTCGTTTTCCACAGGCCACAAGGCGAGTGTGTGCGTGTGTGTGTGTGTATTTGTGCCTGTCTGGGGCTTCTGTTTGCTGTTCGCCTAGTCGTTTGCAACATGCACACACAACCCCAAAAAACAGAGACAGAGACAGAGAGAGATACATATACAGACACAGATACATTGGTTGTGTGGATTACACTTGCAGATACAAAGATACAAACAAACAAAAAAAAGGAACATTTAAAAAATTGCTCAAATCCAGCGAAGCGCATTGGCATTTACATACAGAAGAGAAGAGAGGAGAACCTCACTGTAACAGCTAAAAGCGACAAGCGACTGTCGTGTCATGGTTCAGTGCTGCAGCTGTGCCTGTAGCAGATGTATCTCTCAGATAGTTTCTCATTTAAAAGCAGATACATTCCATTAGGCACACAAATTGGGTTTTAACCAAACAGAAGATTGAATTGTTGTTCAAGCCGCAATGGACAAAAAGATTCGTTTATAAAATGCATTTGGCAGAAAATTCAATTATCGTTGGGTTCAGTTCCAGGCTGCTGCTGCAACATGCTATGCAACCAGAGCCTCTGCTCGACTGCGGCTGCTGCTGCTGCTGCTGTGTCGCAACCCAGACTCAACAGTGCCTTCTGCCGCTTGCTGTGCGCCTGCTCCGACTAGATACAATAGTAAAAGTGTGGCTGTCGCTGTGCCTGTGCCTGTCGTCGTGTGCCCCAAAGCTCTAGCCTGTCTCTATCTGTCTCTCTCTCTCTCTGTGTCTCTCTCTGTCTCTTTGTGTGAGTGAGTGTGTGGCATAGAAAACTGGTAGGTTTTGTTGCCACATTGCATTTGCCGGCCGGTGTCTGTTGGCCGGCCGGTAATTTATGGTCCATGCAGCAGAGAAGAGAGAGGCAAAGATGCAACTCACAAGTAAGGCTGAAACTCAAGTTGCAAGCGTGGGTTGCACATAGCGAAGGGAAAGGCAGGAGGAGGAGCAGCTGGTGACACGGCTGAGTGGCAGCATGTGCCTCTCTTTTGTGGTTCCTGCCAGCAGCACTTGGCTCTGAAAACTTTACAATTCACATTCATTTTTATTGTCATCCATGGGCTTGTACCGCCCTCCCACCTTTTGTCTTACATTATTTTTTGATACCCTTTTGCAGCCTAAGAAGGACCCTCTATCGATCCTACAGAGTATACTGTAGGGGGTTAGAACTACTCTTTCTATGAAAATAAGTGCTTAAAATGTGAAAATATTTTGCTAAAAACTTTGTTGGCCGTCGAAAATTGCCATCATTGGAGCATTATATCATATGAATGACTATATTCGGAATTGATATAATTAACGGCTCAATGAGTTCTAGTTGCTTGCTCTACCTGTCTCCTTTTCCGCTCGGTTGTGTGATTAAATCACACAGAAATGCGTCTGAGTGGACATTGCAACGCTCGTATAAAGAGTATCAAATGCTTCTGCTTTCGATTCTTTCCCTTTTGCTTTTTTTCTTTTGTCCCTTTTGTTGCATTCTCGGCCATTGGCCCCGCCCCGGTCCCCTTTACTGCCCCCCTCTCTTAGAAACATTTCGCTTTGGGCCATTTTCATATGCAAGTTACGTTTTTTGTGTACGCTTTTCTTTTTCTCTTTTCTGTTTTCTGTTTTTGGGTGGTGCCTTCTGTGTCGCCTTTTGTCTTCGCTGACAGTTGCAACTTTTTGACGCATGATTTGTTGAAAGGTTTTTTTTGTTGTTCGCCAAATAGAATCTGGCACATTTGTGCTAGGTAAAAAGCCAGAGAACACAGAGACACTAATGGAGTCCCCAGTCCCTCCCCCTCCAAGCCTTTAGACCTGCTTTTGTCTTTCCAAATTCCCAGCTGTGCATTCGTTGCTTCTCTCTCTCTACGTCTCTGTCGTTGCGGGGTGGTGGCCCCAAAAAGAGAGAGAATTAGTTTCATTCTTTTGAATTCCATTTCGATTTGTAAGTCCAAAAAGTACGACGGATATCTGTGTGTTCCGTGTGGAATTTCGTTTGTGTTTTGTGTTCTGTGTGTTGAAAGTCTCTTTGGCAGTGGGTCAACAATCTCATTGAGTCACGGCCACCAAAGGCAGCAGCAGACTGCTGCTTGTTCGGACAGTAGTATTTCCACTTCCCCACTACTCATATTTCCATTGTCATGTGGGGGCATTCCATGTACAAATGCGGGGAAAAACTTAACAGTTACGACTGTGTTATACCCTGCTAAATATTTCAACCTCAATGGATTCTCAATCCTCCTCAGTGTCCTGATTTATTTATTAACAAAATCAAGTATTTAATTATGATGCTATTGTGATGATTTTTGGGTAAATAGATAAATTATAGCTTTATTAGTAAATATACCAAAAATGAGCATCAAATATTTAACATTGCGGATTGTAGAAAGATACAAGATAGGTTTAAAATATACCCTATACATCCAAAATCTAAATGTTAATAAGGGGGTAGGCACATCCACACTGCAATATAAATGCTAAATATAATTCCGTGAATATTATTTAAGGGCCTGTCACATTCTGGGCATCTCCTGGCCAGAATCGGTATCTGGGTTCCACCTGTACGCAAACTCGATATACCCCTACATTGTAATTACACTTATAACAGGGTATTCCAAAAAGAAGAGAAGAATTTAATAAACTTTATGATGACTACGAGAACTACGAATTATTTTCATTATTATTCTTGCGGTGGCACAAATGTTTGAGGGGCCAACAATGGGGACATAAAAAGAGGCAGCCACAAAGACCACCGCGCCGCACTGCCGCCCTGCCGCCCTGTCGCCTGCCACCCGCTGCGGCTGTTAACCTTGAGGTCTATGACTCAGTGGAAATGTGAAAATGTGGGAGTGGAAATGGGAATGGGCAAGAGATGAGTCCGTACTCCACATTGCACTGAAGGAAGGTCAGTGGAGTCTGGGGGTCTGGGACTCTCGGGTCTCGGGTCTCGGTACTCCCTTCACTTTTGGAAAGTACCAAACAGACACACAGACAGACAGACATAATTTATTTGCGAATCAAAGTCGTGAGTTTTCATAAATGAATTGTTGGCGACATGTCCCCCCTGTCCCTGTTCCCTGTTCCCGTCACCGACCATGTCTGTCCGAAGGAAAAGAAAGCAAAGCCACAGCCACAGACACAGACACAGGAGGAGGCTCCTCCAACCGATTCGATCCATGGCTCCATTCTAATGGACGACGCGACGTTTGGGTCACGGCTCCCAAAACAAATGACAAAACTCTTGAAGGAGATTTATGACCACGAAAATCGAGTCCCTAAACTGAGATGCAATGCAGTTTCTTTTGGGTGAAATGGTGAGGGAAATGCTGGGGCAAATCGAATGCTGCCGAATGACATTTGAATGTAACTCTGTTGTCGTTTATTTTTCTTGTGTCGTGCTCTGAGGTCTAAATGTTTTCTGTTTTCTGTTTTCTTTTGCAGAATTTCTTTCGATTGCATCGCCTGAGAAAGTTGGGGCTGAGTGACAATGAAATTGGACGGCTGCCGCCGGATATACAAAATTTTGAAAATCTTGTCGAGCTTGATGTTTCACGCAATGGTAAGTGTTTGACACGTTTAATGTTTGTTGTTTGTGCTGGTGCCTCTGTGGCATGCAACAAGTGGTGGGGCAGACTAAATTACTGTTTGGATGTTTGCCTGCTGCCTAGAGATGAATCATTTAATGATTGATTGATTGACAGGCAACAGCATTTGAAGCAGCAGCAGCACAGCAGAAATATGTGGTTTTTGTTATACAAATTGAGTGGCCACATGCAACGGATGGACTGTGGCATGCATCGTGCGGCAGTTGATGGTTCTGTATCTGTACCATCGATAGGAAAGTTGCAGGGAGGAGGACACAACAGGAGATTTTCACTCTTTATTAAAGTATCTCACGCCTTTTGCCTCTCTCCCAGCGGGGCTTAGCAGTAATTTAATTTCTGTTTAATTGAGTGATTCGATTTTTGGAACATCATTGTGCCTTTTTCTGTCAGAAATAATTACAAATACTCAGAGAATTTGTAAAATTCACTCTCTCGTTCTCTCTCTTACTTTCTCTCTTGCCACCGCCAGCTCTCTTCCAGTGAGATTTATAGTGATTGAAATATCTGGCATGTGAACAGTACAGTATGTTCAGACAGAAATCAATATCAATTGAACGACTAATTCAATTAAAACTTCAATTTTTTTTATCAAATTAAATCACAAAATACGTGAATTGTGTGTCGAATGAAATTATTTTTTATTATTTATGATTATTATTATTGAGTTAGATACGGGATAAAATGTGTGTGAAATGGCAACAGATACATACTCGGATTTCCTTCCTGTTTTTTTTTTTTGTCTTTTAATTTTGAATCTTTAATTGAACTTAATTGCATACATAGCCTGCATAGCCAACTAGTTTTCACCTTTAATTGTTGCATTAAACGTATCTATTGAGTGGATTTCAAAATAAATCGAGCTGTTTAATCAATCAGATTTAGTTTTCCCAGAGATACGTTTAATTGTTGACTTTGATTGGAAAAGGATTTGATTGGCATTTAAAAATGGTATTTTAATGGGTCCAAAATGTATGGAATGCGTTGAGTAATGTAACTACGGTTGTGAAAAGTACTGGTAGTGAAATGCGCATATATTTCTATACTGTAGCAGCTTTCTACAGAATTTCCCTGTGAATGAATTTTTCTCTCAACATTTCTCAGCTCCACAAAGATATTCGCCGAACTTTCAACTGAACTTAAAAGGCCAGAACAATTGCATATTGAGGGACCAGAACGAGGCTCTCTGCCGACACCCCGAACATCCGTCGGGCGCTGCTCTTTTCAGGTCTGCTTTATGGCCAAGGAAGAAGCATCCGGCGGAGTTTGATAACTTTTTTTAATTTGTGTCATATTCCAATGCACACGCACAGATACAGATACAGATGCAGATACATATACACACCCCCCACACAGATACAGATGCAGCTATATTCAGTTGGGGAATTGCAGAGATACGATTCTTTTTCATACCGTATGGATTTTGTGCTTAAGCAAGCGTAAATCCGTAAACAGTAAACAGTAATTGGAGTCAAGTGCAGCGCCGCTCTACCAACCAACCTCCCCTTCCCTACCTTCCGTTTTGTATGGAAAAATAAATGAGAAAATAAATAAATAAATAAATGAAACTGCAAGGGGAAACACGGTAGCCGCCCCCCACTCCAACTCCTACTGCCATGGTAACCCTAGCAACAGCAACAGCGGATATCGTACGAATCATCGTTCGTTCATTCACAATGCTTTCCTATCGAATGGAACTCTTGGACTACACTAACAGAAAAAAAAAGGAAGGAACGTTTGAGTTGAGATTCTACTTACTCAGATACTCACTGGGAGAAAGAGAGAGCCATCTATAGATAAACAAGCGGAAAGAGTAAGGATACGCTGGACTCTTATGGCTGCTAAGCCACACTAGGAAAGAGGAATAGAAAAACAGTTTAACAGAAACGCTTACTTTAGAGTACAAATCTCACTATATGAGAGCTATCATCGGAGAAAACCATTCCTAAGCTGTGGCCTGTGGCTGCTAAGCTACACTGTGAGAGAGAACCGCTTCCTGTCCTTCCTTCCTTTCTCTGAGTGTATGAGGTCGCCTCGCCGGGGCTTCCCTTCCGATTTCCGTTTCTGATATCACAACCCAAATGCCGGGTAGGTATAAAAAAGGTTTCGTTTTGACCAAATATTGCATTACCAGCCCCGACCAAACTCATTGAGTGCACTCATGAGTGCACTCATTACCCAAATTGGATCGAGCATTGCACTGCATTTGAAGTATGACGACTTTGGCCCCGCGACGCGGCATGCGGCATCGTGTTGCACCGCGCTGATTATGCAGTTTATGGCTTGTACACATGACCCACAAAATGACCAGTAACACACACCCCACCCCACTCCACCACACACACCGCCCGACAACAGCAGGCCAAGTGAATGTCTGTGGAAATCTGAGCTCGATTTTCCTGCATCCCAGAAGGTGAAAGGAGTCGCCGCTGCCGCCACTGCCGCTGCCGCCCACGTAAAAAAGTTTTGCGATTATCCGCCTGCTGGCTCGTATCTGTGTGATTAATGGCCGGCAAAAGAGCGGATAAGTCGATCAGCAAATATTAAAAGATCTTTCCTTTTTTTCCCCTGTAGATAAGTACGTGTCTGGGTGTGGGTGGAGAGTGGAGAGGGGAGGTACAGGGGGCCTTCTCTGGGAAAACCTTTCACATTCAATTGCTGCCACACGCCGCCGCTCAAGTGCATATTTTATTGAATCGCATTTTGTTGGCCGCTTTCGGGGAACAGAACTCGTTTTGCTGCCGCACAGGTGTGTGGCATGCTTCCCCCTCCCTCTCTCTGCGTCGCTTTGTGGCACACCTTTCTTTCGTTTCTTTCATTGCCACATTTATTTGTTCATTGCGATTCCCAGCGCACACTCTGTAGATTCTATTTTCGCCTCAAATTAGCCGTCTCGATTTGTATTTTAGCTGCTTTTGCCACTCCGAGCCACGTTGCCACTCTGACACTGCTGTTGCCACAACAATAGCTGGCCATGCCACACAGCCAAGTCCGTGCGCTCGTGGTGGTGCTGCACTTGACAATAGAATTTGTTGCAACAAGCAGCAGCAGCTGGGAGCCGCATTGTCACAGCGCAACGCGCGACTGTGGCTACAAAAAACAATTTTAATAAAAACATGAAATTCCCCTATCGCTCCTTGTCGACTGTGGGTGTGGGTGTGTTTACATATACTTATATACAGCACTGTGTTGTGTTTGCACAGCTGTGTTCAAAGTAATAGCAGCGATAACTGCCGGAATAATATTACAGACCTTTGCCAGAAACCAATTTGCCTTTTTGTGATTGGCTACAAAAGTTTATTCAGATTTTTTATACAATTGCTTAAAGGTTTTAAAATGTGATCTTAAAATGTTATCCTTGTATTGGGGCACCTTCTGAACATTTTTCTGAACAAAAAGCATAATTGTGTTGCATATAAAAGAAATCCCTTTTGAGCTGCTGTGTCCTTTCGGTTATGGGGAATTTGTATGTGAAAACTCTTTTTCCGTTTTATGCATCGTCTTTTAGTTTTTGTTGACACGACTTTGACACGGAATACAATTCGAATACAAGAAATATTTCCCTGATTGAATCAAGTATTTGCACACTGTCCTGTCTTCTATCGCACGAATTGTCATTCCACGTCCAATGCTGAAAAATTGTTCCCCCTTTTGTGTGTGTGCTTGTGCTATTCGTTTGACCCCCACTGTGTGTGCCCCTGTACAGGTGTCATTGTTTGTCGTTGTCGTCGACTCGCGAGTTGTGCACGTAAATCATTATGACAATTTTTGACCCGCTTACAAAACCCCAAGAGCCAAAAGGGCGCTGCTGTCGACTGTCGCTGCTGCCTGCTGCACTGCTGCCGCTGTTGCTGCTGCTGTGTAAAGTATTTTATTTTTTCGCAGACTGCTGCTAATTGTTTGTTTATTTGCGTATTGCGTTTTCTATTTTCATTATATATATGCATACATATGTTCATATACATTCAAATATGTAGTTTTTCCTGCATTTCATGTGTATTATTTGATACCCTTTTAGAGAAAGGTTTGGGTATGATTAATTTGGTTAGATTTCGAAGACTATACAAAACACTGGGAATACTTTTCCATTTGAAAGATACGCCTACCAAGAAATACATACCAAAAATCAAGAAATCTCTCAATGCACTCTCAAGGATACCGACTACATCATTCTATACTTACACTAGAAAATCTGGTACTCGTAGTGAAAATTCTGTGATTATTTCAAAAAACCTTGTAGAATATATCTACAAAAAACCTTTAGGAAGAACTGCTAAAAGAGAGTGCGAGCGTGGAGCAAATAAAAAATCTAAAAATAGAACAAGCCTTTTACACGACTTTTCCGCTTCTGTCTTTACCCTGTGGCTTCGCTTTTTGGTTGTCTTCGGCTTTAACTTTTGCCTGCCCTCGGGGATCGCCTTCGGCCATAGCTTCAAACTGTCTATCTGCGTTTGTCGTCTTCGGCTTTCGTCTTCTACCTTTCTGTCTCGGCAATCGTCTTTGACTGTCTCTCTCTCTCTCTCGTCTGTCGCCATGGGTAATCGCGTTTATTGGATGCAAAATAACTTCTTTGCACTTCTCATAGTACTGTCGCTGAGAGGCATCTTTGTCGTCGAGACACATTGATTTCCAGCTTTTCCTACCCGACTCGCCTCGCCCCATCGCTTCTGCACATACTCGTAGTACATATTTTCGCGAGTGCAGTTTCATTGTTTATGGAGAAGTCAGTCGGTGTGTGCCGTGTTTATTAAATAACAAATATTTCGTGGTATGTATTTTTTTAAGGCTACTTGGCAATGCGTTTGGTCGTTTTGGAGGCATAACTGTTGCCAAATTCAGTGGGGGGAAATTTGTCATTCGGTTTTTCGAAGCGAATGGATTCTCGGTGTGACGAGGCGTGAAGCGCAGCAGATGGCAGAGGGAGAGGCAACATCCTCCATAATATTATCAATAGTGG